ACTTTTTTTTCGAAATTCATTCTGACTCACACGTAGATATGAAAATCACTGATCAAAGTTCTCAAACTTCTATTATATACCCACCGTGAGAAAAAAATAACTGAATATTATTATTTTGCGTCTCTTTTTGCTCTATTCTCACTTGTTATTCTCGAAAAAGCGCCACATCAGCGTTCTGTGGGTTTTTTGTCATCATTTTCTCTTACTTTTCACACCTCTAGAATTCCGATTTTTCAGCAGAAAAGTTTTTGTTCAATTCAAACATCATACTGTTCTTGAACTAGAACTGGTTACTAGTTAATGAAGTATTTCCAATTTTTTGCCCCAATTAGAGATTCTTGATCTTCAAAAACTACTACCTGGCGAAAAAAGTGATACATTTGCGAGCGAGACAAAAGTGTCTGTTTGATTTTGCACTGCCCTTGGGGAGCTTTTATCCTCCCACCGAAACACGTTTCGGATTGTTGAAATAAGGCCAGTAAAAAAAGAACGTTAGCAATGTTTGTCCAGCCAGTCAAACAAACACCATATTCATTTTTACGTTATTTTTTCTAACTTGTCCAGAAATGAGAAGTGGGGGGGGAGCACTTTTGAGAGCGCGAAAAGTTGATCTACCGATATTTTTGAGAAGAATAGGGGTACAGGAGATTTTGCGTTATTTTTGAAGTCAAGCTAGACGTGTTTGACATGTAACTCCAAAGCAAAATTCTGAAAAATTTCGAGAATAAAGTCTCTCAAATATCATTTTTGAGCTGTGCATTTTGAGCTCAATTATCTCGGTTCCTGTAAAAGATATCAAAAATTTGTCAACTGATTAAATATTACTCATAATATTACTAATATTTTAAAAGTTTGAAAATTATTGATATCTTCTATGGGAATTGAGATGATTGAGCTTGGAGAAAAAAATACTGTTTCATTAGAAAACTCACGGTAGTTTTTATGTGATAGGTGCCGTTTGTGATATGAAATTTTATGGCGAGGATTGGGGAATTCGTTAGTTATAAAATATCATAGAGTTTAAAGTTTGCTGAACTTATAAATTCATACTACCAATATTTTCTTATTTTGTAGAATTATGATGTCTCTTACAAAAATTTAAATAGCGTACCTCTCCAATAGAAGGCGTCAACTTTGAGCTCAATTATCTCGGCTCCTCCAGAAGATATCAAATATGAGTCAATTGATAAAATGTTTGCCATCGAATTCTCAAAATATTGTCAGTTGACACGTTTTTGATATCTCTCACATAAATTGAGATAATTGAGCTCAAAGTGTACAAATGCTCCTTTTAGAGAAAATACGGTAGTTAAGCTCATAGTGAACATGTAGGGATGAATATTTCAAATAGGAAATATTTGAAGAAAGTCCAACATCTAAAATTTTTTTGATGTTCAATTTGTCTGGGTGGCCATTCCGATAAAATTCCTTTCTCTCTCGTTTTGAACTTCCAACGCAACCCCTTGATCTTTCCATCCTACGGCACTTAGGAACACGATTCCGTCAAATTACTATTCCCTCCGAAAGTGAACGGAAATGTTTCCATACCAACGTTCTTAATTCTACACCAGGGTCGGCGCAACGGGTGGCTATTTGCGCATCCATCTCTCGGAGTGGCCCCTCCCCGATGGGTAGAGTGCCGCACAGGTTGCCGCGCACTCCGCACCTTGGTTTAGCCGACCACATCCATTTTTCCTTCTTCTTCTTCTTCTTGTTCTTCTTCACCCTCACGTCGACGTTTTTCCTTCAACTTTGTGTGGCCGGCCATTATTTGCGTCTCTTTCTTCATTTTTTCTTCTCGAAGGCTCTCTCTTCTCTTTCCGTCTATCTCTTTTCTCAATGCCAGAGTTGATGAGATGGAATGGAAAACGAGACGTGTGGAGGGGGTTGAAGAATCGAAAGAAAAACGACAGCCGGCGAGATACAACACAACAGACAGCCTCCTCCCTCCATCACTTTCTTCTGTTTTCCCCCCGGTCGGCGTTATCTCCCCTGCGCTCTCCAACTTCCTACAGTGTCTGTCGCAAGGTCTGCGTCTCTTCACCGCCACACTCACAGCACATTAGTCAGCACCCCTAGTCTCTCTTACTCTCTATGCGTAAGCCTCTCGTTTCTCGGCGTCTCGCTGTCTTTTTTGATGCCACTACTCTATTATGTGTTTGAGGTGGTGCGACTCTCTTCAGATCCAGCGCTATTTCGCCCCCCCCCCCCCCAGGCACTGGATGGATTCTCACTGTATCACACAGAAATGGACGTTTGTATGCCCTCTACAGTAGAGGTGGGAGGAAAAAGGAGGAAATGGAGGGAGAGAGAGAGAGAGAGAGAGAGAGATAGAGATAGAGAGAGAGAGAGAGAAAAGGAGGTCCTTTTCCAAATGATACAACAACGTTTTGGTGGTTGCGAAGAGGGAGGTGATCGCAAATGATGATGACTACTGGATGATCATGATTAGTTCTGTTTCCCCATATTTCGCATATTTAATTTTTAAGTGTGTGGAAACATCATACATCCCAACTCCTCGTGATGGATGGCAAGAAAAGAACGTGTGTGTTCGACGTCACATTTCATTCTCTTCTTTATCTTCTCTCTTCTTTTGAATATTTTTTTTCTGACCTTTCCTCTTTCAAACTTTTTTTCCCTTATAGCTCAATTTTTGAGCTTGTCTTTTTTATCTTCGTTCTTTACGAAAATCATTTCTCTTGTCGATCTTCAAAAGCCGTTTGAAATGCATCAACGACTGCATATACACATCGGGGAGGGATTATTGGGAAGGCCATGTCTTCGGATTAAGATCTTTTCCACCGTGTGTTTTGATCTTTGTCTAGGTTTCCCCTCTCCCTGGGGGTCATCTTGTCTGTCTCTATTTCGGTCTCATCTCCTTGGAATCTCTCCTAACGTTTTGTTTCGTAAACATTACAGTAGCAAACTTTTGTACTCAAAGAGCACGAGCTACTGATGATGACACGCGTGTATGTAGAAACAGATCGGGAGAAAAGAGACAGAAAGAGTTGACTTCCCCCCCCCCCCCCCCCTTGCCTCCCGTTTTCTCCCTTTTCTCAACACGCCCGTGTGCTCGACAAAAGTATTCCCAAACAGTGGACCGATTGAAAAGAAACTAAATAATCTTTCCTCTCTTCATCTTCTACCTCCTTCATTTACCTCCCCAACCTTTAACCTCTCTCTCTCTCTCGTTCTCTTCGGGAGATTTGAGCGCGTGTGTCAAATCAAAAAAGTTCACAAACGTCATAAGTTTGTGTTGATTTGATCTTCCACTCTGGCGGCGCGACAACGGAAACCACTTTTTTTCAGGAATCACTTTTCTTGTAAATTTTTCTATTTTCAAAATGATCCCTAAATTTAGCAGGCTGTCTATCAACTGATAAACTTGATAAACAGAGAGAAAGGAAAGAAGAAACTTAGAGAAATGAAGATGATAAAGATAACTCGAGTCATTTGGTAACGTAACGTCTATATGCCTGGAAAAAGGAAAATGCTCGGTGAAAGTGAAAGGGTCTTGTCCTTTTTTAGCAAAAAGGGCGCCACTAAGTCGTTGTTCACCCATTCGAGGCGCCATCACGTCCCTCATCTATCTTGTTGAATACCATAGCACTTGAAGAAGGCAAAAATTGCGAGGGAGAGAAAGAGAGAGTTCGAAAGTGTCGGTGTGGACTCCGCCTTTGTCCGCTAGACTTCTTTTCGGAGGCAATTCGTTTTTTTTCTTGTCTTTTTTGTTGTCTCCACCAATCCACCAAGACAAGGGCTTGGTGGGTCCTAGAATTTTTCTTTTTTTTCTCTCTCTCACACTCTCTTCGAGAAGAAAAAAAGTCAAAAGTGGGGGAAGTCTCGGTGTTTGGCCGCGAGCCAACCACCGACCATCGAGAAGTTAAAAACAACACATTCATTCAGCCACCCCCCCCCCCTCTAAATCACTTTTCTTTAAACTTTTCACTTTTTCTCTCATCCTCCTTATCTCTCTTTTTTTAAAGTTCCATATCTTGTGTTCCAGTGGGCTTCCCTTCTTCTTTTTTTTCTACCTCTCTATTTTTACTCGATTTCTGAGATTAATAGATCTCTCGAGAAGATTTCTGAGACACCGAGAGAAAATGAAAAGAAGCGATTGCTCATCTTCTTTTTTCCTTATTTTTTGTAACAAAAAATACCCCGTTGTCCCGAGCGACCCCTTTTTTTCTCTCGTCCTGCGGTCCATTGGCTCCGTTGCTCTTTAGAATCGCAGTCCTTGGGAGAAGAAGAAGTGGGGGTGGGCTCGACGACAACACGGCAAACCACTCAAACTCATCAAACCGCGCTCACCGCACCATTGCGCTTTATGCGTGTGTCCAGGGTCACATAGGAAAAATGCGGAGCAAAAAAAACGGCAAAAAAGGAAAGAGAGGAAGGCAGGAGACCCCGGTGAAGGCTTTCCCCCGTTTTTTTTCCATAATTGCTTCGAATCAATGAAGATAGCATCGGACCCTCTTACTTTCCTCTCTCGCCTTGATCCTATCTTTGCCTTCTGTCTCACAGTTGTTTTTCAAGGTCTCCCCAGGAATCGCGTTTGTTGATATGATTTAGGATCCATTATCTGCATCTCTAAGATTGTGGACCGTAACACAACAGTTGTTATCAATTAAAATGCAAAAATGAATGTGATTGTGTAAAAAAAAAAACACAGCCGGATGAGTGCACGTGCACTCATCCATTCATTTATTTTCAAACTCACCGCACTAGTATACTAATCCTTCTCTCTTCAATGCCCATATATTCCTCTTTTCCATCTTGTTGCTTTTTTATATCTCTAGTTTCAATTCTGAAAAGTTCATTGTTCGCTGCTAAAACATAATCTCTATTCGGGGATTATGTGTTTTTTATTTCGCTATGAATTATTTCCGACTTTCCATTCTCTAGACATAATCCTTCCACTTATAATGAGAACTTTTAGTTGATCTTTTTCGAGAAAAAACGCAATTTTTATAAACAATTTTAATAATTTTCAGCTGCCAATGGCATACGCTCCGGGTTCTGGAGGTGGTGGAGGAGGAGCGCCTCCAGGACAACAGATGATGTCACAAAATATTTCTGCAGAAGCTTATCTTCGATTATCAGTGAGTTTTTCATTTATTTTTGCAAATAAGGTGCGGTGATTCACTTGCGAATTGCAACCCTGTCCCTGATTTTTATCTCGTTGTCGTATTCCTGAAATCTAATCTATGCCTTGATCTTTTCTCTGTCTTTTCGCTCCAGATTCTTCTTCTTTCACTGTCCATACGCCTAATCGTTCATCAGAGGTTCAGATAAGGTCATCGAGAAAAACATAAAGGAAGAAATACTGTAAAGTATTTAAAAACTGTTTTCGGTTATTCTGACCACTTCCAGAAGTCCGGAGCTCGGCTGGAAAGTTTCTGTTCTTGTTTGAAATTCTTGCATGGTCCTAGATTGAAATTAAACCAAGATTGAAAAGTGTGCATTAACAAAATTTTCGAAATTTCCAAGTTTTTTTTTGTAATTTGTCAATTTCTGAAAAACCCCTTTTTGTGTAGTTTCGAGCGGAAAACATTTAAAAACAGGTGTCTTTGAGAAGTCCGCAAGTAGTTGAACAACTAGAAATTTTCTAGAACTTCTGTAAATGCAAAATTTTAAATCTAGGGCTGTTTTGCGTCCTTGAAAGTTTTCAAAATGATCGGAATCTTGAGAGCCGAGCTCTAGACTCCTGAAAATAAAAAAAATGGCCAAAAATCAACTGATAACTCAGTTTTCTTATATCTTTTTGTCCGGTATCGCACGTGATTAATCAGAAAAGGAACTATTTTAGAATTAACACCCGTTAAAAGGTGCGTCTATCTTCTCACTTGTTCTTTGATACTGTCATCGGTTCCTTGGTCGGCAAAAAAGAGAAAGATTCGAAGAAAAATGTGATTTTTTGAAATCATCCAAGACCAGCAAACGATAATTTTCCCATCTCTGTGTCCCCAGCGATAAGAAAAAGAAACACAAAGCGATGACTGTCACAAGTCCCGATCTCTCTCCCACCTTTTTTGTGTTCTCTTTTTAACACATTTCTTGTTTGATCTCTTTCCGAAACTTTTCTCAACATTCCTCAGTCTCTTCCCATCTAAGCCCCCCCCCCCCCCTTCGGTCTCGTTAGTGTCCAATTTCACAAAATAACTTGATCGCGCATGAACCCGAGCCTTTCAGGACACGGACCAAGAGCACCCTCTCAGGACCTTCTTGATGTTTGTCGCTGCCTTTTTTTCTTTTGCCCCCCGATTGTCTGTTAGTTGGTGTCGGGTTTCTAAGAGAAACACAAAAACACACACACACACAAAATTTGACGTTGGTTTTTTTTCTTTGGTGTATTTGGAAAAGAAGATGTGCCTAATGGGGGAAAGGTGGTCGGTAGTTAGAGCAAACATTACGCAAGACAAAAAAGTTCACACGTACCGATTTTTTTTTGTTTGATTTATACGTAAATGATAAATATATATTTAGTCTAGGGGTCATTGGGGAATCATTGTGTGGTCAGTTGGTGTTTTAGGGGTTTTAAACATTTCCAACTTCATAGGTACTGTAAAATAGTTTTGAGGGATCTTTTATCACACTATTTCCCATTATTGGAGCTCACTCAAACCGTTAAATTTAAGCTCATTGATCTCGATTTTCGAGAGAGGTAATGTAAATTTATCAATTGATAAAAAATCGGTGAGATCATGATAAATAATTTATCAATTGACACATTTTGAATAGCTTTCACAGAAATTGAGATAATTGAGCTCAAAATCGATAGTTTGGGTGGGCTTCTATTAGAGGGAGTACGAGATATTACTGGAATATTGATAATTTTTGTAGTGATCCTTGAGAAAAAGACATGCTTCTCACTAATTTTAAGATTCCAAAAAAACACGTTTATCAAATTTTTAAAAAGAACTTTTAAATAACGCTAAAATTATCAATTAGCCCTATTATGAGAACCCCTTTTTTTCTCGATAATTTTGAAAATACTATTCCGCTGTCTTTTCATTTTTTAGGTTTTGATTCAGCTTGAAAACTCAAAAAATTCCGTTCTCATATCTAAAATACGCTTTACTTAAACGTCACCTCAAATCAAAAACTTAGTTGAATTATTCAAAGAAATAACCCAGCATCAAAAAATATGGGGGTTTTATTTTGACAAAAATTTTACGTGCACTTTAAGCTTATTTATCTCCGTTTTTTTGAGAAATATCAAAAATCTGTTAACTGACAAAATATTGTTGGTACTATGACAGACATTTTATTTGTTGAGCAATTGTAGATATCACTTGCAGGAACTGAGTTAATTGAGCTCAAATTGCAAGCAACGGCTAGAAATTTATTAGAACAGGTATTTTCCGAACCACCTGAACAATAACAAAAATTAGCAAGAAAAAAAAACAATACGTTAATGCACTTTTGTTTTCACTCCAATTGTTTTTTAATAACAATTACGCTCACAATAGACTCCGTCTGATATCACTCAATCAAGAGAGTGTAGAATAATGGTCTCACAGCTGATCGTGAATTGTTGCCAATCACCCAAAAATGGACACATACAGGATGGGAGGCCTGTTTTTGTCTCATTTGTCTTCATCTTCGACTTCTCGCGCTGTCTAGATCTTCCGCTCTTTCTGATCTTTTTTTGCGAATTTCATTTCTTTCTTGTCATCTTCCTCTCTCATCGCGTCAAACCACATAATGATCACGTGAACTCACACTTATTTTCCATCTGCTTCGTTTCCTGCGTTAGATGTTTAATCAAGCCTGTTTTTGTTCCTTCCATCCTGACCCCATGTCCTCATTTTTCTTCATCTTCTGCTCTTTAGAATTTTTCCTTTCCTATTCTATTCCCAATTTCAAAACTTCTTCTCTCCCTCTTCTCTTTTTCCTCTTTGACGATTCTTCCTGAAAAAAAGAAGCAGAAAAATGAGTGCTTTTTTCTGTGCTCCTCACATATCACTTGGTCTGTTAGTGTCATGGGACCCGGGGGCACTCCGAGGAAGAGAGATCCTTTCAAATTGTCGACGAAGGCTCAAGCATCTCTTCTGGACCCTCCTTCTTCTCAAGTGAGAGGAAGATTTTTGAACACGTTTTTTTTTAAACGTTTGGTTTGTCGGCTCGTCGTCCCTAGAGAAGATGGATGAGATAAGAAAAGTAAGGAAAGGAGAAGATTCTGGACCAAAGTACAACTTGAGGGGACCACAATCATAGATTTTCGCGAGCGGAGATTTATAGCCGAGACAGATTAGACATTTGTGTTTTGAACTTTTCGAAATTATCAAAAGATCAGAACTAAACACATTTTGCTAGATTTCAAAAATTATCAAGTTGATTTTTAGGGTTACATATATGTACCGGTCAATAATTAATAAAAAACGTATTTCTTTTGTTTTGCTGAAAAAATATATAAATCGCTCAAACTTTTTGTGGAACTATACTATCTACAGTATCCGTCAAAATATATACAAAAACGTGTTTTTTAACAATTTTCTGGGGTATGAAGCTCGGCTATCCGGTTTCCGATAACTCTGAAAATTTTGGAGGGTGTAAGAAAAACAGACCTGGAATTAAAAATGTGGCAATCACGAAATTTTCAGAAATTCGCCAATTTTTGAAAGACACTCGTTTTGGCCTACTTTCACACTGAGAACTTGAAAAACTAGGTATCTTTCATAAACCAGTAAAAAACTAAAACACTCTAATAGGAATTTTCAAAAATTCTGTAAATACATGTTTTCAGCCCATGTGTGTTTTACATCCTTAAAAATTTACAACGTGATTGAAAACTTCAGCTTATGTAAGCTCCAAATTCCGGTATGTAGTCAAAACGGGAAAAATAACTTAAAATTGGGGTTTTGTATATTTTTGATATCCTAAAAAACTTCATACTAATTTGGAAGATAATGTAGAACCTGTTGTAAAAGAGCCGGCTTTTCTATTGTTTCAAGAAACCTCTGAAGAGATTTGCTTATACAGGTTATACGGTATTCAGTCTAACCCATATTCCTTAGACCCCGAATTCTCCCTGTCAATCAACACCCAGAACTTGGAACCGTGCCAACCCATGTATGACCAATCCACTATCTTCTTCCGATCGTCTTATTTCACAATACCCACCACCATCATCATCCCTGTGTCTCCGATTCTCTCATTCCTGAGTCATTGATCACTTCACCCCCAACACAGCCGGTCGACCATCCGAGTAATGATAACAGACACATACACACACAGGCCCGAGAAAAATTCAGATAGATACAAAGAGTAAGAGTGTCCATACATACACAACAATCGCTTTTCAAAATAGTGTTGAACATAGGTGAGAGCTGCAAAACTGCATGACATTGTGACGTCGTGTGGGAATAGGTGACGTACCTTTCTTGTGCCTCTTTTGCCGGTTTTACGGGCAAAAAGAGCGAAAATGATAAGGGAAGAGGAGAAAAGAAACAAGACTATGAACTGTTGTATATTGATAAATGTTATTACGAACAGTGTGTGCCTGAGGGCCAGTGTGCGCTTTGATCTAGGTGATAAGAGAAATGACTTGTCCTGGAATGGACGAGTCATCTTGGAAGAAGAAACAGTACACATGAACGAATATACATCTTATCTTTGGTGTTCTATCGCTGGTCCGATATCTTCTAAAGAAGATATCAAATTAGGAGAAGGATGTCTCACTGCAAAAGGCAGAGAAAGATCAACCTGGGAACAATCAGACCTTTTTTTCTTCTCCTATTCTGTTCTGACTAAAAACGTGATCGTTTCTTTGCCCGAAAATGAACTTTGTACATGTTCGATAAATCATTCGTCTTCTTCATGCTAATCAGTTCACGTGATCTTCATTCTGTCTTTTTCTGTTCCTCCTTTTTTTTTCCTAAGAATTCACACTCTCTGCTAAGAATAAACAGTCCCGGTCAATAAGACAAACGAAAACGTCTTTTTTCAGTTGATTTCTGGCCATTTCGACCATTTTCAAGAGTGTGGAGCTCAGCTGTCAAGTTTTAGATCACTTCGAAAAGTTTCGAGAGTATGAAACAAGCCTAGAATGCAAACTCCGCATTCACGAAAATTTTGAAAATCCCCAGTTTTCCAGCTATGCCCATTTTTTGCCTGTTTTTGTAGAAAACCGTGAAAAAACAAGTCTTCCAGAAATTGGCGAATAGGTGAAAAACTAGAAAAGTTCTGCGGATGCCAAATTTACAATCTAGGTCGGTTTTACATCCTCCGAAGTTTTCAGAGTATCTGAAAGCTTGACAATCAAGCTCAGAAAATTAGTCAAAATCAACTAAAAGCACTTTTTAGTATATCTTACTAACGGGTACTGTGGATTATATATTTCCACAAAAAAGTTCAAACTATTTAATTTTTTCAGCAAGTACAACGAGAGCAGCTCAATCAACAAAGGATACAAGCACAACTGCAAACGAATGGACCTGGAAGCTTGGGACAACAACCACAACCACAGCAGCCGCAGCAACAGCAGCAACCACAAATGCAGCACGTTCAGCAGCCACAGCAACCGCAGCCAGCACCCACGCCGGGTCAGCAGCAGCAACTACAGTTGAATGCACAATTGCTGCAAGCACTCTCCTCACCACAAGGACAAAATATTGTGAACATGCTTCTGATGCAGCAAGCGATGCAAGCACAACAAACTGGAGGACAGACACCGCAGCAGATTTTGCAGAATCATTTGGCTCAGCAGCAAGCTCAACAGCAGGCTCAGCAACAGGCTCAAGCTCGAGAACAAGCCCAGCAGCAGGCCCAACAAAATGCTCAACAAAACCAGCAGCAGCAGCGTGCCCGCGAGCAAGCTGAGCAACAGGCTAGAGCACAACAACAAGCCCGAATACAAGCCGAACAGCAAGCTATCACAACTCGGATAATTCAAGAACACCAAGCTCAACATAACACTCAGCGAGAGCTTCTCAATCAAAAACACGCTCAGGAACAACAGCAGTTGCAAATTCAAAATAATCAACAGATACAACAAATATCAGCTATGCAAAATCAAGTTGATCCTAATGTAAGGTTTCATCAGAAAATTCAAAATTTGAAATTAAAAAAAAAAAATTTTCAGATGTTCGGTCAACTTGTCCAGGCACTGCACGCGCAGATTAATCAAAACAACACAACTTTGCAAAATCAACAACAAGAGCAGCTTCGGCAGTTGCAACAGCAGCATCAGAATCAACTGGAACAGGCGCTTCGACAAGCTCAACAGCTCGTGAAAAACCAACAAGAGGAAGCCGCTGTTCGACAAGCTCAAGCTCAAGCTCAACAAGCGGCTCAAGCTGCCCGAGAGCGAGCAACGCCAGCACCTACTCAACAGCTGACTCCACAACAGCAGCAGTTGCAGCAACTGCAGCAGCAACAAGCCCAGCATCAACAACTCCAGCAGCTCCAGATGCAGCTAACTCTACAACATCAGCTTCAACAACAGCAGCAACAGAGAGCACAGCAAGGAGCTCTACAAAGACCATCGGTTGCTTCGACACCAATGCCACCAGCTGCTACTCCAGGAATTGAACAAATCGCTCAATTGCAACAACTTCAGCAGCAGCTTTTGCAACAGGCTCAATTGCAACAACAAAATCTTCAACAACAAGCTGAGCAACAGGCACGCCAACAACAAGCTGAACTTGTTGCCCGCCAGCAAGCCGAACGTGAAGCTCGTGCAAAAGCTGAGCAGGAAGAAAAGCTGAAAGCAGAGCGTGCCGCACAAGAAGCCAGGGAGCGAGAGCTAGCTCGTCAACGGGAGCAACAAAATCAGCAACCACAAGGAAGAACCGTGTCGCAAGCGTTACAGTATATCCAATCGATGCAAATGCAAGCAGTACCCGAACAGGGCACCTCAAATAGCGGTAGGTTCTTTTCAATTTTTGAATTTTCTTTTTGTCTCACCCTATTTGTCACATTTGTGTTTAATGACTCAGTTTTTTCCCCTTTTTCTAAACTAAGCTTTGATTTTTAAAAACATCTGTGTCGGTTTTTCCCCCCTTTGTTTCTCCCAAACCATTTTCCCTTTGTCTCCATTTCTCCCTGGTTTCTACCCCTGGATCCTTATATCTACAATTAAAATTCCCACAAGCGCACACACACACCACACCACAACTCCTTTTTCAAAAAAAAAATCTAGACCCTTTGAATTTTAGAGAATCTATTCATTTTCGGTACCATTTAGAGGCATGCTAGATAATAGAGCAGTGTGTGAAGTGTCAGGATATCTAATTCATTATCATTTCATCCATTCATATAGAATTGAATTCTTCTGCACCAGATACTTCTAACCAAATTATTTCTTTTCTGGAATGCTCTTCCACTCACCCCAATCATTTTTCCCCTTCAGCAGCCGAACCAACGCAAGAAGAGCGGTTGGCTCAGATGCTCAACGAGCAGCAGCAGCAAATGTTGCAAAATCAGGCACGCGAAGCGCAGCACCGTCAAATGCTTATCTCATCGACACCAGCGCCAAGAGGTGGTCTCACTATGGGAACACCAATTGCAATTGCAAGACGTGAAGAGCCGGCTCCAGCTCCTGCGGCTCCCAGCACTTCAGGGGTGACGGCGGCATCACGGGGTATCGCAGAACGCACGCCAATTGCAGTGCAACCTATCAAACAAAATTCTAACCCGGCTATGCTACCATCCTCCTCATCCTCCTCGACATTCGCGTCGCGCAGCCATCAGATTTTAGCACCGTCGCTCTCCAAATCGTTTGAGCAGCCCTCATCATCGAAGACATCGTCCGGCAACGAGTCGATGTCGGACCACATCAGCCGTATCATCTCTGAGAACGAAGTGATTCTTCAAGGAGACCCGGTGAGTGTGGCTACGACTAGCGTGATATGGATTTTTTGTGGTTTTATGATTTGATACCAAAAAATGCAATTAAAGAAACCAACCTGAAAACCCAAAACCCTTCTCCATGTCAATTTTACGAGTTTTATAATTTCAATCTGATAATTTTTCTTTGTCCTTTTTTTTGTTCGACGTCTTCGAATCTGTCCATTTACAGGTGATTCGCAAAAAGCGGCCGTATCATCGCCAAATAGGTGCGCAATCCTCGGTCGATCACGACAGTAATAGTGGTGGTGAGTTGTGGTGTGGTTGAGTTTCTTGAAAGCATCATCGCCTACCCTATCCCTTGTCTATCCTAGATCCATACTTCTATTATCCACTCCCCTTGCCCGGTCCCCCGTTTCTGCTATACCGTCTCGATATTTTGCATGCCAGTGCGTGTCTGCACGTGTCCATTATACATATTTAAATATATCTATATATCAAATTGTGTCCGTCCTGTAACACTATAATAGGTCTCTTATTTTAAGGCTCTACACGGACTTCTCCCGGACCAAACAACAGAATGTTGCAAGCAGCCAGTCGGAGCCAAAGTCTATTTGAACTAAGCGGATCCCGACAGTTTATGGGAAGTCTAACTAGTGGTCAACCATTGCTACGACAACTTCAAACCCAAAACGATCCAAATTTCACCCCGGAATGTGTCTACTGCAAGCTCACTTTCCCCAACGAAGCTGGTCTTCAAGTTCATGAGCAAGTGTGCTCCAAGAAGAAAGAGTTGGAGAAGGCTCAACAAGCGGAGAATCAACATGCTGCTCTCAAACGCCGCCATACTCATCAAGATGCCACTTTTTCAATGCACTCGCCAATGGGAGCTCGTACGCCGTCAAATATGCCAGGGCCCTCGGATCCGATAAAACGGATAAAAGAGGATTCAATTGAGTTGAACAATTTTCCATCAACATCCGCTGAACCATTGGTTGTCATCCCAAGACCAATGACAAAAGAGCGCGAACTGCAAATGAATCAAGCAATGGGTCTTGCTGCAATAATTCCACCATTTGTGAGTTTTTGGAGTAGTCTAACATACAATACCTGTCAATATGATATACAGAAACATATTTTTCAGTTAATTTTCGGTCATTTTGACCATTTTCAAAAGTCTGAAGCTTGGCTGCCAAGTGTCCTATTACTTTGAAAACTATGGAGGGAGTAAAACATAACACAATTGAAACTTTTACACTCATAAAATTTTTCGAAAGGAAATAGTTTTTTAGCTATTTGCCAATATCAGAAAAAACTCTCCTTTTTGGCCTCTTTTTGCACTGAAAATGTGCGACAAATGGGTGTTTTCAAGAAATCGGTATTAGCTGAAAAACGGAATTGACGAAAAACTCTGCGAATGCAAAGTTGCCAATCTAGGTCTGTTTCACAGCCTCTAACATTTTCAAAGTGATCGAAAACTTGACAACCGAGTTCTAGACTCCTGAAAATGGTCAAAAATGACTGAAAATTATTTAAAACAAGTTTGTTTTTGCCCTTCTTATTCTCCGGTTCAATTTCAAACCTTTGTACAGCTCCAAGCATATCTCGCCACAGCAATAATGAGCCAAACCTATACACTTACGCCTGGAACTCTCAAACACATCTATGACACGTACAACATGTCTCCTCTTGCCATACAACAATTCCTTCAATCTGCTCAAGCACTAGAAGTAACCCAACTGAATGAAATGATTGACCAACTTGAACGAACATATCAAGCCGATTTGCACACCGAAATTGTAAGTTTTTTGATTGTCTAACTGGTTTTTTTACTAACCCTGTTTTTTTGTTTCAGATTCAAACTCTCCCATCTTGTGAGGTCGAAATTCGAGAGATTGCAAAACAGCAAGAAGCAATGAGCCAAGGAGTGCAACCAGAGCTTTTGGTAGCGACGACATGTCTTCTTTCTCACTCAAGTGGAGCTCGAAGAATTCATACACGAGACCAGGAGTTTACATTGATCAAGTATCATCAAGCAGATCGAACTGAGACAGTGGAACACGAACTTCGAGCTTACTACTCGTTGGAAGTTGTTAATCAACGATTTGTGGCTGATATGCGAGAACTGAATCGCCTTTTAGAAATGGCCGATAAACTTGTGCATCTGCTGAGATCAGACCCCGTTGGACAAACGTCGTCTCTTTATGTATTTGCTTGTGAACAGGCAACAAGTTTGAAGTACTTGCTCCGATCTTATGGAATGGTTCATTTGACAATTGTTGCCAATGTCGCCGAAAGGTTGGGCATTGCATCGCTGATAGATAATGGACAATTCATAATTAATGCTCCGGAACAAGAGGAGATCAAAGAAGAAGTCGAGATGCCGAATCCTGCAGTTCCGTCAGGATCAGAAGGAGCGGCAGGAGGAACCGTCGCTTTTAACGGGATGATAATCAAAGAAGAAGTCGTGACACCACCCCCACAAAACTTCCAAGATGACGATGACGACGATGATTGTATTATTGAAGTCATCGACAAGGATCAGGAACGTCGGATACGGATGAATGCAGCCGCCCAAAAAGCGGAGGCGGAAGCCCGTATGGCTTTAGTTCCACAAAATCAGCAAGAGCAGCAAGTGGTAATGAATCGAATGACTGGAGTTCCATTTATGGTGAATTCTATCGGCTTTGCACAGAATGACATTGGAATGCCTGGTCCAAGTGGGCTCAAAGTAATTGAGGATTCAAAAAACGGGATACTTGGTGGGATGGCAACCGACCAGGACAACAAATATGGGATTGCTATGAAACAGGAGGAGGTGGAAGTTGTTGCACGAACGCTACCGCTAAACATTGAAGATCTTCGTTTAGAGCCGCAGAGAAGTGGAGACACGGATAAACCTTATTGGCTGGTGATCGACGGCAACATCGGTGGCCGTCCGTCCTTCATGGCTCTTCCTTCAACCGCGTCGCGCACCAATCGCACGACAAGCATCACCTCTGAAACCTATACAACTGTGCCACGACAACAGCCGATATTTGCTGAACAAGACGGGACGCATTCAATGTATGCAAACTGGGCAAAGCCAGTTCATAACGATGTGGAAACTAAAATGAATATATCATTCATGGGAATGGTCACCCTGAAGAAGCAAACAGGTCATCACAAGTTCTGGAAATTCACAACGGCAAACAAAGAGCTTGGGAACTATCGAATGACACATTCGTCATTTTGGGATATCAGCACAAAGATTCGGGATCGACAGGCCTCGATGAGCGAGGACAAACCAGTGGAGGAGCCGGACTACGATGCAAAACTCATTGATAGATTAGTTGGAGGTACTTATAATATTTCCGATGTACAAATTGCAACCTCTGCTCCAGTTTCAATGCCAATGATTGTGGCGCCAGAGATGGCGACAGCTGCGGGACCAAGTGGAATAGGTGGTGGACCCAGCACTTCAGATCAGCCGCTGATGATGAGATCTCCTCGACCACCGACTCCGCCGCCAAATGTCGTGCTTCCACCGCCACCAACACCACCACCTATTCCAGCAGCGGAAAACTACGAACCAATGATCGTAGACGAGGAAAATGAGTATGTTAATGCTTCAGCTTTATCGCTTTAATCTTAACCCCAGTGTTCTTATTTTTAGAGTCATTCCAACCAGTGTCGTACTAACCGCTCCTGTTGATGTGCCAGTTAAACATGAGCAAGAGTATCCGATGGAGGTGAAAATTGGAGAATCGTCGGACGAAAGGTAATTCCCCTTATATTTATGTGCAAATTCTGTTCTCTTACCCTTATAATGCGAACCAAATAAAATCATTTTTTGCCAATTACATATGTTTCGTTTTTTTGTGTTCGTTTCATCTCTCAACTTTTCTTCGGGTGTGATAATAAGAAAAAAAAGATACGCCATATCTTATCGCATGTCACTTTCTTACCACTGTGTTGCCTAATAACGGGAGTTTTTTGTGTTACAGACCCAGCGGAATCATCATTGATGATGTTGGCCGTTTCAGAAGCGCCAATCGCCATATGAAATATGTGAGCCGGATTCGACCAAAACACGAGCAGATTATTGGTGGCCATCGCACCGACGAGGTATTCATCTGCGCTTAAAATCTTCCCATTATATACTCAAAATGTGAGTCTGCAGGTCTATGTGTATGTACGTGGTCGTGGACGTGGAAGATATATCTGTGATCGATGCGGAATACGGTGCAAAAAGCCAAGCATGCTGAAAAAACATATCAAGTACGATTTTCTCTCATTAGAAAACAGTGATAAGCGTTTTTTCTTATACAATAATCATTGATAATGATGATGACCAAGAATGATTAAGTAGTTCTAACCTTTTTTTCAGATCACACACCGACATTCGCGCTTTTAACTGCAACGCATGCAATTTTTCGTTCAAAACCAAAGGCAACCTGACTAAACATCTGAGCTCAAAGACCCATCAACGGCGTGTTTCTAATGGTAAGCAGAAGTGATATAACATACAGTACTCGTCAATTAATATGCAAAAAAAAATTCCGTGAATCTCCGGCTATTTTCAGAAGTCTGGAGCTAGGTAATCAAGTTTTTATCACTTTCAGGAATTTTTAGACTGTTGAACAAACCTAGATTCAGAACTTTGCATTCGCAGCATTTCTTGGAAATTCCCAGTTTTTCAGATATATTCCGATTATTTGAAAGATATTCCTTTTGCCAATTTTGCCAGTTTTTGTACGGAAAACGGCGAAAAACGGGTGTATTTCAAAAATCGGCAAACACTTAAAACACTAAGAATTTTTAGAAAATTATATGAATCCAGATTCTTTAATCTAGGTCGGTTTTACACCATTCAAAATTTTCAAAGTAATCGGAAACTTGGCCGCTCCAGACTTGAAAATGGTCAAATTGACCGAAAATCAACTGAAAAACATGTTCTTTGTACTTTCACAGACCAGTACTGTAATTAGAAGAAACCCTGAAAATGAGGCCCTGAAAACCATGAAAACCCCTGAAAACGTATTCTAAAAAAAATCATCTTCAAAAAAAATTAAAATTTCAGCGAACGCTGGAAATGAGAGTGACGGTACCACACAATCTACAAGTAGCATAATGAATATGGAAGACGCATTCAAGATGGAGCCACTATTCGACGCCTATGATGATAACATGTAAGCCTATTCCTTATCTTATTATCAGTAAAATCAACTTCTTTCAGCTCCTCCGATGAAGAAGAAGATTGCGGCCACCTCAACGGCATGCAAGCAGAGCACAAGTTCAAATTCGGCCAGGAGCATATTCTCATGGAGCGTACCGCCCATACTCCGCCCACTCGTTGGTGTCTTGTCGAGGCTCAAAACGACCACTACTGGCCATCGCCAGATCGCCGAACTTGCATGTCAGCTCCACCGGTGGCCATGCAGCGTGAACTTGATGACCGAGGTGTGTGCTAGATCCAGTGGCTCAATGTATCAATTATCGTCGGTTTTCAGCAATGAGTCCCGTCTCGGGTACCATCTCTCCATTCACCAATCGCCGCAATCACTCGCCGTTCTCTGCCGCCTCGCCTCGTAGTCGTCTTATCTCCGAATCACAGCAAAATGACCTATCCACTGTTTTCTATCAATCCGATGATCCCTCATGCAGTTCACAGGTATGCATCTTACTTCATCTTTATGTCATCGATCATATTTGAGATATGAAAAAAGAAAAAAAAAGGAAAAGATAAACTATTTAGAATCCCAATTCATTTGGCCTCAAGCAACTTCCGTCTAGCAGCAGCGGCGGCAGTGGCGGCGCAATGATTAACAATGTGAATTTGTTTCAAAAAGACGAAATTCACAAATGCGAACATTGCGATCGCACCTTCCGCAAGACGTCAGAATTGTATCTCCATCAACATACTCATAACATCGAGTATCAGCTCCACAAGAATCGAATGTTCCAATGCTCGGAGTGTCGGATGCCGTTGCGTACAAAGGCGCTTCTATCCAAACATCTTCATCAAATTCATGGTGTCAATGTGAGTTTTAGTTTTTTTTTATATAAATTTTTTAATTTTCAGATGGATGAATCAGTAACAGCTTGCATCGACCCTTCAGCTACTACTCAATCAGTTCTTGGCGGTCCGTCTACAAGCAATCCTCGCTCTTTCATGTGCTACGATTGCGATATCGGATTTCGGAAGCATGGAATCTTGGCCAAACATTTGAGGTTTGTCTTAGTGACCCTCAACTTGGTGGCGGGACAATAAAATATCGAAAAACGTATTTTTAGTTGGTTTTTGGTCAATTTGGCCATTTTCAGGAGTCTGTATTTTGGTTGCCAAGTTTCCTATCACTTTGAGAAACTTGGATTGTGTAAAACAGTCTTACAGAATTTTTGGAAAATTCCTAGCTTTTCAGTTACTTGCTGATTTCTGAAAGACACTTTTTGTTCGACCCGTTTTTGTACAGGAAACCTGAAAAAGCAGGAGGTCTTTCAGAAATTGTCAAGTATCTGAAAAATCAGGAACTTGAAAAAATTCTGTAAAAAAAAATTTTTCGAGTTAGGTTTGTTTTACGTCGTCCTAAATTTTCAAAGGGATTGGAATGTTGAAAGTCGAGCTCTAGACTCGTGAAATTGGTCAAAATGGCCAACTGAAAAAATGTTTTGGAAATTTTTTTGGATTTCTTCTTGACCAGTACTATTTATTCAATAATTCAGTGTTTATTGAAGTTTTAAAACAAACACTTGAAATTTTCATTTATAATATATCTTAATTCAGTCTAGAACTTCCTCTTTCAGATCCAAGACACATGTAATGAAATTGGAATCACTCCAAAAACTTCCTGCTGACACAATGTCTTTGATAACTCGGAAAGATAACGGTGCCTGTTTGAACGAAGTGGATACCACCGATTGCGAGAGAGCCCGCGTGTCACTTCTCGGTTAGTTTTCAACCTAATTTTGGTTTTTTTTCCTTTTTAATGATCATCTGTTGTGACGTGAAAGTTAGTGTTAGTGCGGTGGTATGTGCTTATCATTATCACAGGTGAAAAAAGGAGAGAGAAAAAAGAGATCACGTGAATGCCTAAAACAGAGAAGTAATGGCTTATCAGTCAACAACCGCAAAACATTTATATCTCTAGATGTTGCCACTGCTCATGAGATTCCTTCTTCTTTTCTTGTGTTTTGTTTTCCTTCTCTAATCGCCTCTCCTCTTTCAGCAATAGTCACGAGACTACGAACCGACCTCGACAGCGAGGAGTCAAGCAGCTCCGCCCCACAAAGCGTTGCCTTGGCTCCCGAGGTGTTGAGAGCGCTGACGGCCAACACTCTGACACCGGCGGCGCCCTCTTCAGCACCGATATCCTCCTCGACGCCGCCGTTATCGACAATACAACACAACACGGTTGTGTCCTCGTCGTCGTCGTCTTCTTCGGTGAGTGCTGTGTCGGCTACGGGCAGCCAAAGTAACGTGTCTTGCGTTAGCAGCTTCAACAACTCCACTATGTCGCCCCAACCAACTGTGGTTCAGCAGGTGTTGTTACCAACAATCCCTCTTCCTCGCTTCCCGTCGGAATCGTCCTACACGCGCTCCACAAAGAGTCCAACGGAGGAGGAGGGCACGAGCTCAATCAAGCGATCGTCGAACAATTTGCCCAAAACCATTCTTCGCATTTCGGAAGTGCCAACTGTGTTTCCAACCAACCTAGTGAGCTCTCACTCTTTCCTTCTGTCCCTTACTTCTAACTCTGTCCACTTATTTTTTTTTGTCCGCAAAAAGTGTATTTTGTTTCTTTAAAGAAAAAGCTAGTGTCCCTGGGTTCATGGGTTTCTAATTCCTATTATTTTTTCTGATTTGCAAACACCATAATACCCAATTAATTACAGAAAACTGATTCGTCATGTCCATCTCCATCTCTTGCCAACCATGTTCATTCCCATTCTGCGAAAACATCACCGTCACCTGCAACAACGCATTTTATTCATCGCAAACGGTAATAAACCATTCTCGCAATCCCCTACAATTCCGATTCTTGCAGTTCGGAGTCTTCAATAATGGGACACACGGGCCCAACCATCGCCAAACAGACACGTGTCTGGAATCCACCACCACCGGAGCCAGTGTTCACATCGCAACCCCTGCAGACAGTCTTCGTCCCACCAGAAAAACCGAAGACCCCCGAGACCCAATCGCAGTCGATTCGTCCAAACTGTAATAGGCCGAAACCAATTCCGGACAATACTAAATGTATGATTTGTCATGAGCAGCTGGCAAACCCCATTGAGCTTCAGGTAAGAATCATTTGTTGGGAGCAGTGATGAACACTAATTTTTCAGGTTCACATCCACGTCGATCACTTTCAAATAAGAGATGGAGCTGAATTCAAATGCCCACGAAACAACTGCGGGCTGAATTATGAGACTGTAGATTGCCTACGCGCTCATGTCAAGGCTCATTATGAGAATGATCAGAAAATGTGTAAGTTATCGTTTCTGTTGGATCTCATGTACAGTACCGTTTTTCAATTGATTTTGATCATTTTCAGTTGCCTGGAGCTCGGTTTTCAAGTTGTCGATTACTTTGAAAATATCGGAGGGTGTAAAACAGGCTTAGGTGAAACTATTTGCATTCACTGAATTGTTATCAAGTTCTTCATTTTTTAGCTACTTGTCGATTTCTGAAAAACACCTGCTTTTCTCACGTTTTCAGGAGAAAAACAGAAAAAGCTATCTTTTAGAAATGGGCAAGTAGCTGAAAAACTAGAAATTTTTGGAAAATTACGTCATTTAAAAATTTCCAATCCAGGTCTGCTTTACACCCACCCCCCCCCCTTTAACCAAAATTTTTCAAAAGTAATCGGACATTTGACAGCCTAGCTCGAGACTACTGAAAATGGTCATAATCAATTTATTGACGGTACTGTATATTACTAAATCTATAAACTTTTGAATAAACAAATTGCAATTAAAAATATCAAATATTACAGTACTCGAAGAACAAAATCTGCTCGCTGATGTCTCTGTTATAATCCCATCACAAGCAAGCTCACCAAAAGTAGAACAGAAGTTCACAACTCCTTTCAAGCTGATTTCCGATCATCATGAGATCTACAATCCTGGACCATCGACGTCTACTGCTCTGCCACCGAAGACTTCGGACTAATCCATCTAGTCATTTTGCCCCTCCCAACATTCCAGCTTTTACAAAAGTTCAATTTTCTGTTTTGCCAGTTTTTTTCCTTCAGAATTCTATCTTTCTTTCCAGTGTGTCGGTATCATGTGATTTTCAAACACTTCGGCTTTTTTTCAGCTGTCGTCAGATTCTAGTTTTTTCATCTGTCGGGTTTTCAAACAAAAATTTCCTGATCTTTTCCTTCACCCCGGAATTCTATATTTGGTGGTTCTTTGTAATTTTTTCTCCTTATACCTTAAAAAATGGTGTTCAATTGTTCCTTTTCTATTGTAAATACTTTTTTCTTTGCCATCTATCTTCCAATCAAAATGTGAGTAAGTCTCATTTTCCAGTTTGTAATTTCTTTTCCTGTCCCTTGAATAATATAATTTATGGATAAACAAATTTTTTGGTCAACATAATCATTATCAATCTCTTGTGATGGCAGCTCTAGACTCCGTGTTGAGCAAAGAAGATGGCAAAAGAGGCGAGGATTGTATCAACGACGACGAGGCACCAAGCACCGACAGCCATCCAGAAGGCGGAGCCAATCTGAAAAAAATTGATGTTTAGATTTTGTATTCACACGGAAACAACTAAGTACACAATACCGTTCAAAGAGATATACAAAAACGTAATTTTCAGCGAATTTTTAGGTACTTTGACTATTTTTAGAAGTCTGGAACTTGGCTTTAAAGCTTGCGATCACTTTGAAACTTTCGGAAAATTTAAAACAGACCAAGATTGAAAACTTTGCATTCACAGATTTTTTTGAAAACTGCTAATTTTTCAGCTATTTGCCGATATCTGAAACACACCCATATTTCAGATTTTCAGTACAAAAACAAGCCAAAGAGAGGTGTCTCTTAAAAAATCGGCAAACAGCTGGAAACTAGGCATTTTCAAAAATTCTTTGAATGCAAATTCTTTGAAAAAAATTTCATAGTGTTTGTAAGTTTATCATTCGAGCTCCAGGCTCCGGAAAATGGTTAAAATTACCAAAAACAAACTGAAAAATTCGTTTTTGCATATCTTATTGCCCGTAACCGCATAATCCTTACATTAATGTCCAATTCCTTTCCGTTGAAGAAGTTCTGAATGTCAACATCATCTGAAAATCAGAATAAAAACAGACATCTCTAGTTTCTAAAGCTTCATACGTCTAACTTTATCGCTGTTGTAGTAGAAAACAGCAATGGCGATGGTGAGCAAGATGGTGATGAGGAAGGAGAGTGGCGAGAGGGGATGGAGAAGATATTTTTTGAAGCAGCAGGTGCATCTGAAAAAAACATAATGTTACTTCAGTGTTCTGTCTGCAGAAGCCCATCCGAATCGTCAACTTCGAGCTTCATTATCTTGATTTCTGTGAGAGATGTTAAAAATTTGCCAACTAATAAAATATTGATGACATTATGATAGATAATCGATCAGTTGACAAAATTTTGATTTTTTTCATGGAAATTTGAGCTTATGGGCTTTAAGATAAGTGGATGGGCTTCTTAGAGGAAAAATTAGAGGAAAAACAGTATTCAAAATGACCCACGAGGTGAGGAAGTTCCAGACGAAGGCAACAATCTCCAGGATTAGAGCTGATATCATGCAGATGGCGACCATTTTCTCGTAGGGTTTCATTTCCTGCAAATTTTCAGTGGTTTTCTCCACCAGTTTCTGGAAGACTCACCTTCCAAAAACGAGCGCATCCGGCGGCGTCGGTGTCACAGAAGAAGGGAAGGATTCCAATAAGACGCTCCGTTTGGTTAGCGTCTACATGCTGGTACAAATCAATTAGGTCAGCTTGGACGGTGGTCCACTCTGAGAAGTAATTTATTTTCTATATGGTATAGCTTGTGCCACGTGGCACCACAACTCACTATCCGAGAAGGTGGCTCCAAGAGTGAGCGCGATGGCACCGAGCATGACGACCCCAAACACTAGTTGAGTGAGCGATGAGCACATCTCCTGAAACAATAACAAAAATAACAATCAAAAAGTAAAAACGAATGAAAATCAATGTGGAGGTGGGAAGCGATGTGGAAAAACTGTGGCAAAAAAGGGAGGGGGAGAAAATGAATGCAAAAATTGATGCATCGACTTTTTTGGGATTCGAGAAAAACTGTGATTTCCACCCTCTATACATATTGAGGGGAAAACGTTCCCATGGCTTATTTTATGGTCGAGGAAAAGTGACACGTCTTTTGATATATGTTTTTAGGAGTTTCAAGATGGAGTAGAGGAATACGAAATAGAAAAAAATATATATATACAAAAAAGGGGGAATATAGATTGAACTTTTTAAAACAATATAGCTGACGTATAGGGTAAAATGATGCAATGTAGATTTAAACAAACAAAAAAAGCTGGGCGGAAAAGTGCACGATTTTTTTAAATCCAATTTTTTTGAACTTCTATGAGAAACTGTTAAATTAGAAAAATATTGATTTTGTTGCAAGGAAAGAAGCCAACACTCAAATTTTATTATGGCATCATACGCTTCGATTCGGGATGATAAAACTTGCAGTTTTGTACCAGAAAAGTGGAATGTTCAAAAAAGAAAAGAATCAAAAGCTTTTAGCACTTCAGCAATGGTTCTGGAGACAATTATCTCGTTAAGAGTGGGGTAATTGGAAAATGAACAAAAATCAGAAATAATAAAAAAACAGTTAATGGATATAATGTCTCCAAAACCGTGAACTTTGAATATCTCATTTTTTGTGAGAGATATCCGAACATGGTGAACGGTCAAAATGTTAATTATAATATCAAAAATGTTTTTTTCAGTAAACAAATTTTTGATTTCTTTGACAGGAACCTAGATAGATTCGCGTAAAGTTGAAAAATAAGTAGTTAAAGTTAGAAGTTCGGAATTCATGATTTTCTGAAAACGAGAACTTGCTAAAATTCCAGATTAAACAATTAATCTCAGTTTGCACAAAAGTTTTTAGTGAAAGTCCGCTTGAAACCTCATTCCAAATATTTTCGGACTTTTCAATTTTTCGGTAATTTTTGTAAAATTGTTTTTTTAAGGTCATATTACTCTGGTGCAAACGCTAGAACTAAAAGTCTCCCAACGACAACTACCGTAACCTGAAAATCATTTTTTTCAAATTTATTATTCCAATTATTGTGCAGTTTTAATCATTTTTTCTTTTCATTTTTTAAGAATTCTCATTTTACGACTTTTTCGAGGAAAATATACCACGAAAAGCGGTAAAAAACTAGATATCGAAAACGGAAAATAAGCAAAATATTTTTAGGTTACGGTAACTGTCGTTATGGGACCTTCGGCTTCTTTTTTTGCTCTTCTAGAGCCCGATTTTTGTGCCAGAATAATAAAACAAATTTCTATTATTTTTTTAGCATTTGCTTATAACTATAGAAATATTATTTAGAACGTTTGATTCTGTTCACACCTTATCGTCCGTTATCCTTATAATTTTTGCATTGTATTTTTTCGAACACGTTCTCATTTGCCACCTTTTTCTTTCAATTCCAATCATCTTGTCACATACACATCATCGTATTCTCAGCTCCTCATGTCATCATAACCATACATGTCTATACGAAATCGAATGATTCACTATTTTATTCTCCCATGCATTTCTTTTTCGTTTTTTCTTTTTTTGAAGAAAAGCCGCGAAACAAAACAAAATTCGTACAGTTTTCATCTCCATCGAGCCTTTTTGAAAATGTCGCGATTCGGTGAGGAACGAAAAAAAAACAACTGTATACGGAAATTAGTCATCGTCTCCTCGTCTTGCTCCTCCCTTTTTTGCCTCCTACCTGTCCGGAGCTTCCGAAACAGTGCCATTCGTGCTTCCCCATCCGTTCCCACGATGCCGTTATTTTTTAGGCTTCTGTTTCTCGCAAACTTTTTGGTTACTGTAGCTCTTGCTGTGCAGCAAGCAGTGACTGTGAAAGGAATAGTAAACTGTCGAGGACAGAAACAACCCGGAACATTTGTGCAGTTGTATGATGAGGATTCGAGTGAGTTTCCTGGAATAGTTTGACAATTAAGCATGTGTTGATTATATTTTCAGTCTTCGACAGCGACGATCTTCTTGGATCCGTGATTGCTGACCATCGAGGAGTTTTCTGTGTAAAAGGAAACACTGAAGAGGTTAGTTTTGTAATTTAGAAAATATAATGTACTTTTAAATTAATTTTTACCGATTTTGGCTATTTTCAGGAGACTTGAGCTCGGCTGTCTAATTTTCTATCATTTTGAGAATTATCGGGTGGTGTAAAACAAACTTAAATTTAAAACTTTGAAATGACAGAATTTTCTAAAAATTTCTAGTTTTTCAGCTAACTGCCGGTTTCTGAAAGATACCTGTTCTTGCACGTTTTCAGTACTAAAAAGAATGTTGTTTAGAAAACGGGAATAGCTGAAAAGCTTTGAATTTTTGAAAAATTTTTTGATTACAAATTTTTCAATATTGGTCTGTTTTACACCCTTCAAACTTTTCACGGTGATAGGAATCTTGACAGCCGAGCTCCAAACTCCTGAAAATTATATAAATTACCAGAAGTCATCTGAAGAATTTGTTTTTGTATATTTTTTCAATTGGTACTGTATACTTCAATCATGATTTTTTTTTCAGTTCACCACTATCGAACCATACATCTTCATCGAGCACAATTGCGGTTACGAGGGTCTCAATGAAAAGGTGAGCCAATTTTTTTGCTTCTCATATTTTTTAATGTTTCAGAGAGTCTTCACTAGAATTGTTCCAATCGAGTACATCACAGAAGGACCTAAAGCCAAACATGTCTACCATATGGGAGACATTGAACTTCTCACAGCTGGTATGAATCGGAATTTTAGAATTGTGTTAACATTGTCTTTAGATGCTCCTGTTCAAAAATACGACAAACGGATTTATGTAGAAACAAATATTGATGAGAGAATTCGACAGTGCATTCCAATCTATGTGCAATATAAGAGATACTATGAGAAGGTGGATTCAGAAATTTCGTTTTTAATTTTTGATCTTTTTTCAGACCGTTTTTGAAACTAAAACGCATGAAACCGTCCTGCCGACCGACGAAGAACCAGTTGAAATTGAGGAGCCGGTTGTGGAACCAACAGAAGGAGAGCAGGAAGTGGTGACGTCATCTACAGAAGAAGTACAGGAAACAGAAGCGCCAGTGGTCCATCATGAAATGTCTGATGAGGAGAAGAGACTGGAAGAGGAGAGGCTCCGATTGGAAGGTGATTTTAAAATTGTTGGTTTTTTTGTTTCGAAAATCAAGTCTTCCAGAAGAGCAACAACGACTCGATGAGATTCGCAGACTCGAGGAAGAATCCCTACGTTTGGAGGAAATCCGTCGTATCGAAGAGGAGAAAAAGAGAATTGAGGAGATCAGAAGACAAGAGGAAGAACAACAACGGATCGAGTTGGAACGTAGAGAAGAAGGTGAGAATTTAGGCGAATAAGTTCAAAAAACGTAATTTTAGTGTATTTTTGGTCATATTAAACCATTCTCAGCAATCTGGAGAATTTTCCGATCACTTCTCAAATTTTTTATGATGTTGAACTTTTATCTAGGAAAATCATTTACTTCCAAAAAATCGAATTAATTTTTCACCAAACCGAAAATGGTCGCGTGTAAATGTACGGAACATTGTTTTCCTTTTCTCGAATGATTTACCTGCTTTTGAGAGGTAAACAACTTTGGACTCAAATTTCTCAACTACTATGAGCTGAAAACTCATCTTTTTTGGACACCATACAGTACATTTTTAGCTCTACCTATTCATACCATTTTTTCAAGATTAAATGATTTTAGTGGAACAGACAATATTGTTTTTACAATATTATTCTATCAATAAATAATTTTTTTAGACTGAGAACCTTTCAAAAACTGGCTGTGAACATCAAACTTAAATAGTACCCCTATTTATTGAAAAAAAGGAGTATTTATGAAAAAGTAACTCCTGAAAAATGATTAAAATGACCGAAAATCAACCGAAAAATACGATTTTGTGTATTTTATTGACCGGCACTGTATAACAAAAATAATTGTAAATGAACAATGAATGATTCAGAACGCCGTCTGGAAGCTGAGCGTCGAGCTGCAGAAGAAAAGAAGCGAGAGGAAGAGGCGAAACTTCAAGAACAAAGACGAAAGGAACAAGAAGAGGAACACAAAAGAAGAATGGACGAGTATCATCGACGAGAACAAGAGCGTCAGGAAGCTCTGAAGCGTAGAGAAGAGGAAATCAAACGACGTGAAGAGGAGGAGAAGATTAGAATCTCCACGTCGTCTTCTGAAAAAGTGGAGAAGAAGGATCCGTGTGTTCACTATCCAGTCTTGACTCATGTAAGTCTGAAATAGGTTGAATGTTGTGAAATATGGAATTATGAATAGGAAGAGATGCCAGCAGATGGTGGTATGTCTGTGTGTTTTGTGTTTCATTATGGAGAGAAAAATACAAAAATAGATTTTTTTTTCTTTTTCGCCTTTTCACTACTCAAAGCTTCAACAGTTTTCTCAGGATTAATTCACCGTCTTTCCTCTGATAGGAGGTCACCCAAACCTTCAGCTTCAAGCTCAATTATCTCCATTTCTGTGAAAGTTATCAAAAATTTGTCAATTGATGAATTATTACTGGTATCATAAGAAACACTTGATCAGTTAACAAACTGTAAATATCTTTCACAGAATCAAGATACCGTAAGTATTCTAAAAGAACGCCATCCAAACCGTCCATTTTTAACCCATCTATCTCATTTCCTGTGAAAGACATCAAAAAGTCGTAAACTGACAAAATGTTCATCATAATATCAGGAATATTTTATCAGTTGACTACTTTTTAATATATTCCAAAAGATCCGATATAAATTGCATCAAAGTTGACAGTTTGGGGCGTTCTATTAGTGAGTTTACGGTAATTGCGCTTGAAGATTCATGGCTTGGGCGAGGGAATACGGTAATAGTGGCAATTTAAAAAAAAATAAATTTTTTCAGATCCAATCTATCAGTAGATCCATTGAAGCTCGTCACGAGTACGTCGAAGATCCATGTCTCAAGAGATAACCATAACACTCATATCATTCCATCATCATCAATTGTCTAGTAATAATTCAATTTCTCTTTTTAAATTGTTTTTTTTTTGTAATGCTACCCAAAATAACTGCTATCAGATCTTTTATTACGCTTTCAATCTTGATTTTCTACTCAATAATTTCACATGCAATTTAATTATGACTTATATTTTACAATTTCTATCTAAACCAATTTTACAGTTATTTTTTCCATTCTTTCGAGATCACACATAATGAAGTTGTTTTTTCACAATCGGTTCCAATCGGACAATCGTCGTCGATTTCACACGGGTCACCGATTTCGTAGATTTTGTTGTTCTTTCGATTGCCACTGAAAAGATAGCCACTTTCTCTCAAACTATCAAAAAAGAACTGACGCTGGTCCATAGTGACAAACCACATATGACATTTTCGGGCAGTTTGCGATTCCACACCCGAGACGATACGTACGATCCCATGCCATCTATAACGACTACTATTCCTTATCTTATCAAAAATGACCTCGTACCTGAGTGTAATGTCCAATCGCTTTCCCTTTCAAATCCCATAGTTCGGGTGTCAATACGTTATCAATTGGCGTACCGAACTCCTCTAGTTCTTGCCACCATTTCTCGACGGCCTTAAACAGTTTTTGTTTTTGATTGATGAGGAAGCGATAGATCAAAAAAACAGATACCGTATGAATTAGACTTCGGGGATCAGGATTCACAAATGAACTCATATAGAGGTTCTGTCCCTGGTTGGGGCGTTCGTAATGGGAGGAATGGGCGAAAACGCACTTGTTTGCCCAGTTCTGTGCAAATCGTTCCAGCATACAATCATATTCCATTTTTATCATTTGACTTGCTTTTGGCTGGGAACTATTGGTTTCTCCGTTCCACTCGAAACCCTTTGCTAGACGCGATCTAGAAGAATGCTTTTTAAATTTGAATTCAAGTTTTGAAATTTTTTCACTTATTTGAAGAGTTTGTAGCTCGGCTGTAAAGTTTCCACTTGCTTTGAAAAATTGCTGAGAGCGTAGAACAGACCTAGATACAAAACTGTGGATTTCCAGAAGTTTTCGAAAATTCGTAGTTTTCAGCGATAGGCCGATTTCTCAAAGACACCAACTTGTAAAATTCCAGGCAGGCCGGACCTGAGGAAAATTTCAAGGCCCGGGCCCGGCCCGGTAGGCCCCGTAGCAAAAATGTTGTCCTTTTGAGCCAAATTTTGAGCTCTCAATACAATTTTCCCCATTTTTTTTTGTTTTTTTTTTGGATTGTTTGTCTGTTTGATCAAAAAATATCAAAAAAACTCGAAACAAAAATTTTTGATTGAAAAAAATCACATAAGGGTCCCCCTTATGTGTTTTTTGAAATTTTCAAAACTTGTGAAATGACGGGCCCGGGCCGGGCCGGGCCTCCGAAATTCTGGAAAAAGCCCGGCCGGCCCGTTACAAGTATGAAAGACACTATTTTTCGGCCCATTTTTGTGCTGAAAACGGGAAAAAATTAGATTTCTTTCATAATCCGATAGATGGTTGAAAAACTAGGAGTTTTTCTTGAAAAACTCTGTAAATGTGAATTTTAATCTAGTTCTGTTTTATACCCTCCAAAATTTTTTAAGGAATCGGAAACTTGACAGACCAAGCTCAAGACTCTGGAAAATGATCAAAATGGCCGAAAATCGTATGACTGTACCTATAAAAATTATGCTGTTCTAGTGTAAAATTCCTTGTCACATCTGACACTTGTGGATTGTTACACTGCATACTGTCTCCACTATCTTTGGTCATCTGCGGCGCCTGACAAAGGCCTTCAGGCACTAAACACTTGGATCCTGGATACGTGAAGCAGTCCTTGTCTTCACAGCATGGTTTTCCATTTTCGTAAATCATCTCTTTTTCGCATTGAGCCCTGAAAACTTGTTTTGGGTTAGTTGCTGTTGAAAAATAAAATTTTTCGTCACTTTTCATTGTAGAGACAGGTGAACAAAGCCGACTCTGTATCCGGGCACATGATATACGAACATCCGACACGGTATGTTTTCCCTTTTGCCATCTGGAAAACAATTTTTTTTGCTTTGAATACAGTAATCTTTTTACATTCGCCCATCCAAAATAATTTCGTCTTGCGAAGAACCTATTTTTCTGATCCTCATTTCCCCGTTCCTCTCCTTGCTGCCACCAATATTTCATAGCGTTTCTCATATGTACTGTTGAGTCGTGACCATCGAAATAATAATAGAATCTGAAAGTCGATTTGATCAAAATTATTACTTTATTTTTGCTAAAGTGGTCACCGCTTGAATAGTTGAGCGTTCGAACCGAGTACTGATTGAGGCATGAAGTGTTGGGGACACGAGGCTGACCAGTTGGCGGCGAGTGCAGCAAGTTCACAATCCCAGTCCTAAATAAGTGTTTTGACTTTATTTTGAAGCAAAATAGCTAAGATTTTAATTTCACAACAAAAGAGGTATAGTACCAATAAATAAGATAAACAAAAAACTATTTTTCCATTAGTTTTTCACCATTTCAATCATTTTCAATAGTTTGGAGTTTGACTGTTAAGTTTCCGATAACTTTGAAATTTTTAGAGGATGTAAAACAGACCTAGATTAAAAGTTTGTATTCACACAAATTTTTGAAATGTCCTAGTTTTCAGATAATTTCGAATTTCTGAAAGACACCTGTTTTTTCATATTTTCAGTACAAATATAAGCCAAAGAGGTGTGTTTTGTTCTAAAGCCCTACGATAAACAAGTGTCTTCCAGTAATAGGCAAATAACTGATAAATTAGGAACTTATGCAAAATTTTCACAAAACAGCAGATCTCTAGACGTCGGATATTTGTCAAAATGGCCGAAAGCCCACTGAAAAGTCACTTGTTGTCTTTTGTTGATTGGTGATGTATGTTTTTTTTTAAATCATAGTAACCCAACTGAAGGGATCAAAAACAAAATTCGAAAATCCTCGGAAACTACAGTAACCCTGACCACTTTAACGACAAGACAAAAATATGCCCTTTTCTTCAAACTAACCAGTTTATACATGTTTCTCGCACTGTTCATGAGACCTCTTTTGTTCCTCTGCTTGCCATAAGCCAGTGATCTTCGTAATTCGTTATGTGTTGTTAGGATGATCTCTTGCTGTAGCTGGGTGATCGTTGATTCGTTACACACATGTTCGGTTAACAGTTCTGAACGGTGGGGTACCTTTAAAGGGTCAAGAGGTTCCATAACTTACCCTCGTCCAAGCCACCTAAAGCTTCTACAACCTTATCATCTACGGCGTTCCACACATTTTGTTCTATAAGATCATCACTACCACTTCCCTCGATGTTAGTACTCTGAAAACCAACTTTTGAACTTAAAAAAGACCATAAAAATCCAAGACTATCCCCACTTAAAAGATAAAAAGACCAATTTTTTAAAAAAGATGAAAATCCTCACCTGCACATAATTAAAAATAATAAAAGTAGTTGCCACGAACAAAATCCCGTTCATAATAGTTATCAGCAAGCAAAGAGCATTACGGGTATTGAAATTCTTTGTCACCACCGCTGAAATTTATTTTACGTTCCCTTTCAAACCACCAATAGCTCCGCCCCTAGGTTACCAGTTTTCTACGCCTCCTGAAAAAAAGAAAGAGAGACGAAACCGTCTAGGAACTTCTGATGCGCCGGCGACGACGACGACGACTTTGAAACGATAGAAACCGAAATCATCAAAACCAAACATAACAGAGAAAGTGAAAACGATGTGTTTTTTGGGACTTTTTTGTTTCAATGGAGTGATATGGTAACATTAAAAAAAGCGAAGGAAAGTTCAAAAGTCGGTGGCAATTCGATACAACTTGGAAGAATGGAGAAGAAGCATCGACACAATGACTATACTATATAACAGACAGTACAAAACACGATCACTGTAATAATTTATTAGTTTTGATAGGTCTCTTTTGTTCTGTAAAAGGGCGTCGCTCCTTACAGTTTTTCAATTTTATGCTAATTCGTTCGTACCTGTGAAAGCATTGGTAGAAGAAGAGGTCATATTCTCCGTGAAGACAGTCAAGTGTTAAAAAACCGCGGCGACAAAAAGTGAAAACCCAAAATTGGTGGTAGTGACAGCATATGTGGTAGTAGTGCCTTTCTTTTATGAAGCGGCGCTTTATATGTTTATTATGTTTCTTCTACGTTTCCCTTCCACAATAAAAAACCACTTTCCCCTCTCTGCCATGCAAATTTTTTATTCGGTGTCGTCTGGGTTTAAGAATTATGTGGTGAGAGGAAATGAAAAATCTTGTTTTCACTTTTCTCGTGATTTTGATCAGATCATCAATTTGGTTTCCAGGTGACAGATGAAACCGAAAAGAAAAAAGGGTGTTCTGAAAAAAAACCTACTGTCAGATTTGGTTTGATTTGATAAGTGAACTTTATTTTATTTGAATCGAATCGAATGATTTTGATTAAATCAAGGTCACAGCGAAAAAAAAAACTGAAAATCAAGTGAATCGAGGAAATTTTTGTCAATCAAGGAAGTGGTGGAAGAGTGGTGGAGCGGCTGGAAAAATTGATATACAGTAATGGTTAATAAGATTTATAAAAACGTATTTTAAGGTGATTTTAGGTCATTTTGACCATTTTGAGATTTTCTAAAGCTTGGTTGCATAAATGAGAGGTTTTTCTGAAATTGGGGTTTTTTGAGGTCGGGAAAAATAGTCGGATTTTTAATTTTGATAAATTAACCAGCAGTTTGGTGTTTTAAGGCTAAATCAAGTACGAGAAACACAATGATGTCAAAATGTGATCTGAAAATGTCTCATTTTCGAAATGCTGAGGTCGAATTTAAAAAAACAGTTCAAAATTTACAAATCACTTCACGTATGCTTGGTCGGCAAGTTTCCGATTGCGTTGAAAATTTTGTAAGGTGTGAAACAGATTTCCGAAAATTCTTAGTTTTCCAACTATTTGCCAATTTTTTAAAGACACCCATTCTTGCCCGTTTTTAAACTGAAAACGTTAAAAAAACCAGGTGTCTTTCAGAAATAGGCAAATAGCTGAAAAACTCAAATTTTTCCTTTTTCTTCTCGGTCTGTTTTATAACCTCCAAAACCTTCAACGAGATCGGAAATTTGACAGCCGAACTCCAGACTCTTGAATATGGTCAAAATTCAACTGAAAAATACGTTTTTGCATATCTAATCGACCGGTACTGTACCTATATAGACAAAGCACGTCAACTCTTTGCTCGCATTTTGCATAGGAACATCCCATGGACTCTGCTCCCACTGCCTTGTTATTCGAATTGCTAGACGCCAATTGGAGAGCAGCTTGAAACTGTTGAATGGTGGCTTCAGGGGTTGCAGTTCCGGTGACTGGAAAACTGACTTTCAAAGTTCCATCAGTAACTCCTCCGTTGTCAGTTAAACACTGTTTGATAACAGCAGCGGCTTTCGATTCCAAAGTGCAGTCCCAAGTCTAAACAATGACTGTAAATTTCAAATTGCTTAACTTTTTGTTTTTACATTTCCCTTGGCAACCGACTGAAGAAGAATGTTCCGTGTAGCAGTGGCCATCCCATTTGCGCACGTAGTATCAGCTATAAAACGATCAAGTGTTGGGAGTAAAGATCAATTTTGGGAAGCATCACACAGTTTATAGGCGATGTGTTTCGGAGATATCAGAATTGGACAAAAAAAAACTGCGAAAAAAACTAACCTGCGCGTTTCGACCGCTGTCTCTCTAGTAAGTAGTTGTCGTTGGCGATGTGAATTTGGCTTCTGTGAGAAGTTTGTGTGTGTGTGTGTAAAAAAGTCGAAAAGATTTATCTAGGTTTTTTATCGTATTGTCGGAAAAAACGAAAAAAGTGATATGAAAGAAAAAATACACCAAAACAAACTTTCGTGATAGAAAGGGATCTACATAATTTTGAAAAACAAAAAACTTAGGAATTACTGCAAAGTTTGTTAACATATTATGGGAAAAGTAGGACTGCTGTAAGAAGTTAGTGATATACTGAAAAAAAAATTACGGTAGAACTTCGAGGTTACTGTATAAAAAAGTATTGTTGTTGCTTCAAGGTTACTGTTTAAAATATGATGGTCCTGACTTTGGTCACTTCATGCGAGATTACGGTAGCTACGTCAACATTCCTGTATAACAGATTACTGTACGGCAGATTACGGTTGATACTTCAAGATTACTGTGTAAAAGAATATGACAATGACTTAGGTTTACTTCATAAGAGATTACGGTAGAAATTTCAAAACTACTGAATGGAAAATTACGGTATATATTTCAAGATTACTGCATACAAAACTACGGTGGATACTTCAAGATTAGTGTACAAAAGATGGCGACTGTTACTTCATGATTACTGGATGAAAGGTAACTGAAGATAGTTTAAGGTTACTGTATAAGAGATAATGGTAGATATTTATAAATAACTGTATGAAAAATTACGGTAATTACTCCAAGATCTGAAGTACATATAAACTAATTCAGAAATTTTCACTAGGATCTATTTTTGTGTTACAATAATTTTTTGGCAAACTGAATTTTCGATCTCCTACCGTAAAATTTTTTAAAATCCCAATTCTTCCGATTCAAAACTTTTTCTGACAAAACTTACTGTACGACCACGAAACAAACCAATAATCCCAAGAGAATCTGCTGCATTGTCAAAAAATTGAATGAGAGAAATAAATGGATTGCTCATTTTTACCAAATAGACTGACTGAGTGTCCTATTTGCGCACCTGGTCCACATTCAACCACGCAGTAATCAACAATAAAAAACTTCCTGCATGGCAATGCAGTAGCGGAGAGAAAGATCGGTTGAAAAATCATGACTCTTTATTAGCTTTTGGTTTTTTTTTGATAGACAGAAAATGATATTGCAAACTAGACGGAAATGAAACAAAAAAATTGGAAAAAAATGAAAAAAAATTGGCAGAAAAATTAAGAAGCAAAACTTATCATTATTAAATTAAAAAGAAAAAAATACTATAAATGGGAAGGGAACTTAGATTTGAAGTTTAGATTAGAATTTCAAATATTAGAATTGAATTGTAATAAGGCGGGAAAAGAGATCATTGGATTGGTATGGGAAAGAGAAAATAGGATGCATAGAGTAGTAGTCTTCATTTTGGTCCGGCATCCATCGTCTGCGATTTGCCAAATTTGGAGAATTTACGTGGAAGACCGATTGAGCGAACGCTGGATAAACTTATTTTGCGCGTTGTAGTGGTTGAGGAGGAAGAAGAAGTTGTGCTTTCCACACGTCTACCCTAAAACCGCATACTATGAACGTTGCCGGTGAGTGGAGAGTGCCCAAACTCGGTGGTATAGGATAGATAGGTATTTAGTGTGCAATTGTAAATTTATATAAATATGTAAATGTTAGTAAACTGTGTTAGTAAACACGAAATGATACTTTCTGAAAAAATAAAAAAATTTTGATCTATCTAAATCAATCATACAAAATAAAAATCACATTTCAAAAATAAATCACGAATATGAAGAAAAAACACAAAGATAGGTAGATCATTCACATCACAATCTCAAATGTCTTCTCCTGGTAGTCCGGCATAATGGATCATGTAATAAGTCTCGTCTTTTTTCGGTATACCCTCTCGCAACAACTTTGCCATTTCCAGAAAATCCTGTAGTATAAAATCATACTATAAATCATTTTTTAACCATATAATATCGGGTTAGCTTTCGGCGAATATATATGTAGTCGTTAACAAGACCCATTTCATATTTATTGAGACATGTTAGTGGCAATAGGGGAATAATATTAGCAGGAGAAGAGAACGTTTTTGTGTTTCAGGTGCTTGTATCATATTTGCTTTACGTAAATCAATATATATTGAATCATGAAGAAATAAATAATAATATATCATACACACGATTATGCAGACAAACATGCGGAAGTTTTTGTTGAACATATTAAGAAATGAAATAGGATAGGATAGAGAGGGTGGTTGTGAAAAAAGTGATTTTTCGGGAAAGTGATAGATATAGAAGTAGAATCAAATTGAGAGAGGGGATTCATGTTTTTGGTGAAAAGTGCGGTTCATCACTCGTGTCTGGGATCCATGCTCGCTTTTGCAGCTTCCAGTTTTGATATAAATGATCTCACTTTTTCGAGTGTCGCGTGTACAGTATCCTTTCGGTTCTCGAGCACGAAACGGCCCATGGATTTCCATCGAGATTGCGCCTTCCACACGTTTTCATTTGGACCCAACACTCGGCTCGTGGTTCGGTTGTTGGGATATTTTGGAGTGACTGCAAATAAAATTTGTTAATTGAATCTTTGAGGGAAAGATAGTAATAGAATAGTGATTTTACTACAAGAGAGATAGCTGAGTAAAATTTGTTTTGGAAAAACCCAAAATTTGAATTGAAACTCATTTTTCTCCCTTCACAAGACGTACAGAAAAAAATTTCAAATGATTCAGATAGTTTCAAAACAACCGTAAATGCTCTAATAGAAACCCACACGTGCGCTTTGAGATTGATTATCTTGGTCCCTTCGAAAGGTAACAAAATTTTGTCAACTAAAAAAATGCTTTTTGAGAAATTGCCAATATTTTATCAGTTACACACTTTTGATTTGCCCTACAGGAACGGAGATAATTGTATTCAAAGTCTACTATTAGCTGTCGATTTTATTAGAGCATTTACGGTAAATGAAAAATTGTGCGCTGAAAAGGTGCAATACGATACGGTAACATGAGCAATTGAAAAAAAGTGATAGAAGATAACGATAATAATATAGCCCTACGATCATTGCTCCTTTTTCGCGCCAGCGAAAGTGCTTGAAGCATACTTTGACCTTGATTAATTTTTGTGTCATCACACGTTTCTTCGACCAGCACGTATTCGGCATCATCAACGTTTGGACGCCGAGCTTTCACAAACACCTGAAATTTTAAACTTTAGTGATTTGAAGATTTTGAGGTTAAGAGGTTTTGAGATTCTAAAGCTTCAAAATTTTAGAAACCTGAAATTTTAGAATCCTAAAATTCTGAATTTCTGAGATTCTGAGATTCTGAGACTTTGAGATTCTGTGATTCTGAGATTCTGAGATTATGGAACACTGAGATTATCAAACTGCGAGGTTCTGAAATTCTTGTCCTACAAAATTTTAAAATTATCGAACTCTTAGATTGCAAAATTCGGCTCTAGTTGGTTATTTTGGATTTTAAAAAAATTTTTGGGTTTTAATAAAAATTTTGGATTTTAGAAAAAAATTTGGATTTTAAAGAAATTTTTGGATTTTGAAAAAAAATTGGATTTTAGAGAAGACCAGAAATTTTTGGATTTTAAAGTTTTTCAAGGTTTTTAAATTCATCAAAATCTAATATTTAAATTCATCAAAATCCAATATTTTCTTTAAAATCCAAAATTTTTTTAAAAACCCAAATTTTATTAAAATCCAAAATTTTCTNTAAAATCCAAAATAACCAACTAGAAAATTTTCCCCAAAATTCTAAGACCACCACATTTTGAAATCGAAAAAAATGTTAAAGATGAAAGTATGACATTTCAGGACTCAGATGTTCAGAAATTTAGTATCCAAAAACTGAAAATCTTGATTATGATATCTTGAGATATCATATTTTCATATTTCAAAATTCTGAGATTCGAAGACTTCGAAATTCGAGATTCGGAGTTACCATATTAGGAAAATCTCAAAAACTTTTCTGTTCAAATTTTTTTGTGTTTTATTATATCTGATTTTTAGTGCCTCAAGTTATCAATTTCAAGTTTCATAGACCAACCTGTCGAATAATATCTGCTGCTGTGCTGTTAATTCCAGCCCTCAGAATTGCATACGGCTGATCTTCGCTCACATTATGAACACATACCAAGAAAGTGTCGCCCATCGATCGCGCACGTGGATTCAACCCTGTAACCCCTAATCCATCATAAACCTTTTCCATGCCACCGATGCCATCCTTACACTTGCCTTCTGTCACTTCAAGGTGCTCAGCGTCAGTGTCCAATGAGCGTCCGTGTAGCTGATTGCTGATGCACTTTTAACATGTCCATCTTTGATAAGTGGACTTGGTGAAACTGACGTTGAACTACCACCGGTTCCAGATTTTATGATTGATGTTATCCAAGCTCGGGAGGATGGGTCCTAGAAAGAAAATATGTTAGAACTTTCAAAAGAAATATCTTCTCAGTCCACTTCAAACTGTTAAAATATGTATGTATATCTCCCATTCCGTTCCTGGACCACTCAAAAAATAAACAAAGCTCAAAAAAGTACAAAGTTTTGGATTATATATGCCAAAGCAATACATGAGTCATGCGAAGCGGATATTTGTGGAGCCGTATTAACACCATCATCCTAAGAACTCCTCAAAACACCAAATTGTGGCCATTCTTTTTGGTTTTTTTCTGCGTCTCGTTCATCAGTCGTGTCAGTCGGAAGATCTCACCTATGAGCCCCTCTCATCGGATCATTGAGGCAATTTGTAGAAGTCGTCTTGATTATTGGGGAGGAAAAAAACAAAAAAAGGAATTTTGGGAAATTGATAAATAGGTTACAATATCATAGCGGATGGGTAGAAGCGGTGGGTACATAATTGTGTAGTCAGTAGGAAGAAAAAAAAAGTGTGAAGATGAAATCAGACGTTAGCTGAAAGTGTTGACGCGTCGAATGTGGCGGCCCAGTTGAGTTTACGTGACGATTTGCTAGTTTTGCGCTGTCGACGCTTTTCCTCATAACTCACACTTCCTTTTTTGCGTAATACGAAGCGTCGCATCGATCCGTTCCAGCAAGCAACAGCGTCCATTATCGGCTCGTTTAGAGGAAGCACCTGGAAGATTTGTTTAATTATTTTAATTCTAATGATCTCTAAAAAATTTTTGAGTTTTCCTTGTTTATCGCTAGCAAAAAAAATTGAAAAAGAAAATCTACATCTACAGTAATCCTTCCAACAGTCTTCTATCCTACCCTCTGCTCAATCGGATCTTCTCCTGACGGTGCTGGCAGCGACTCCTCAATCAATACATACTCCTCAACTTGGTCCGCATTCTTTCCGGCATTCAGCAGCGCTTGCTGCATCACTGTCTTTACCGTACTACCCGATTCACTGTGTACAGTAATTGCGGTCTCATCGGCAAACGCGCCAGTGATGCGAAGCACGAAGATTTGCTTTTTCAAAATTGGCGTGGGTGAGAGGTTCGGAGTCTAAAACATAAATGGGTTTGCTAAACATGCGAAAAATCGTTGGGTAGAATACCAAATCAGTTCGATAAGCCAGTGTGTGCTCCAAATTACAATAAGAGTTTGAGTCATCGTCGTGGAGGTAGATGTGCTCTTCTTGCTCGAATCGAGTTCTGAAATAAAGAATTCTAAATTACAAAGACGATATCGAAAACTAAGCAAACTTTTTCTCCAGCAAACATTCCATTTGATATGAGTGAGATAAATAAAAAACAATAAACTATGTAAAACAATGCTATATGATGTGTGCCCGTTGTAAATATGATTAGATCATAAAAATAATCGATAAGGTTCATTAATCAGATTGTGATTTTATCACAAAGTTTTTGAGAGGACCTGGAATAGTTTGTTAGTGTTAAAAACTGAAAAAAAAGTTAGATGGTGCCAAACATTACCTCAAAAAGATCATGGCATTGTCAATTGGAAGATTCGTGGATGTGCGAAGCGGAAGATGTCGGAAACCGGGTCGAATGCATTTGACAGGCACCACTCGATGAGCAACAACCCGTCCGTTTTGGCCACTGTCACATACGGCGATTCGGAGGAATGCCAGATCAACACAAGCAATGCGTAGCTGTGTAGTGTGATTCCAGATCGGATTCACAGAATTTCTCTGGACAACTTTGGATTTTTCACGGACACAATCGTTGTGAATTCCGATCACTTCAATTTCAACGTAGAGACTAGCGTAGTGAGTGTTTGGATAGACGTGTTGGCCAGAGATGATCTAAACTTTTGAATTTTGTGGAAAAAAAAAAGGCTACTCACCGTCAAATTCAGCAGCAACGCCGAATGTCCAGCAATATCCTTGGAGAGCGGCAAGAATTTATTATACAACAAGTGAGATTCATCCCAAAGACATCTTGGCTTCAACTGATAGCCACAGTTTCCACTCTGCTCGAACATTGCTTGATTTACAGCCATTATGACATCAGGTGTTTGGAAGTTGAGTGCAACCATTTGCATTCCATGAGCCCAGCAGTTGATAGGGTTGAAGTTAGATGAGTCGTAGTGCTTGGCACTTGGATATGTTCGGATCAGCTAGAAATTTTAGTTTTGTTATACAATTCCGTTCAATTACATGTACAAAATCGTATTTTTCAGTTGATGTTCAGCCATTTTAACCATATTCAGGAGTCTGAAACTTGGCGGTAAAGTTTCCGATCATTTTGAAAATTTTGAAAAATTTGTAACAGACCGAGATTGAGAACTGTGCATTCACAGAATTTTTGAAAGTTTCTAGTTTTTCAGTTATTACCGATCTCTCAAAGAATACTGTTTTTCACGTGTTCAACACAAAACGAAGCCAGAAGGAAGTGTGTATTTCAGAAATAGCAACACAGCCGAAGAACATGAAATTTTCAAAAAATTCTGTTAATGCAATGTTTTCTATCGAGGTCTCTATTACGCCCTCCGAAAATTTCAAAATGATCGTAAACTTGACAGGCGATATCCAGACTTCAGAAAATGTTCGAAATGACCGAAAATCGAGAGAATATTTGGATATCTTAATGGTAGGTCAAATCTTACATGATCTCTAGTGTAGGAAATGCATTTCGCTGGATGACGCTTCATCAGTTTCTTTGCTGCATTCTCATTCAACGAGGTGACTTGATAGCATGTGGCAGTTGCATTTGGTCTTGCACTAGACAAATACTCGGATTGAAGCTCCTGACTCAACTGGGTGCTACTCCTCTGACGTCGCGGTGGAGCAGGCGTACTCAGAAGGGTTGATGGTGTTCTGGATCTTGTTGAGAACGATAGGCTGGTGGTTGATGTAGGAGGATCTTCCACTATCAACCGAGGAGATTGAATGCCTTCAACTGGTGGGAATCCCTGGAATTTGATAATTAGATTATTTCAATTCCCCATCCACCCTCCTCCCCCGCCTCCGTTTTTGACCTACTTTAAACTTAGTGGCTTGCATGTAAATGACAATGTCCGAGAGCTCGGGAGCAATCTGGACTCCAGTGTTGTTCTTTCGCGGTTGCTGGTTGCGGATGGCATTCTGTGCTAATTGAGCATAAAGCACTTCATCTTCAGTCTTTCCCTCGTTGGTCTGAAAAAAAAAAGAGTGAGTGCGTTGGTCCTAGATGCCTATTAGATTACCTTGGATGCACTCTTGCTGGTTGATGGCTTCGCTTGCTCTACCGAATGATCACTGCACAGGGAGTCTTGTTGTTTGATGTTTCTCACTGATTTCTCAGCACGTTTTGATGCCTTCGGACTGTCATCCTTCTCGCCACGAACTGGAACTTCTTCCTGGTCATCTTCCTCATTTTCTTCATCATCCAGGAACTCGTCTAAGTCGTCATCCTCCACTTCATCAACAGTGCTGGAAATTCACTTTGTAAAAGATGGTAAAGCAAATAGTCATGCATGTAATTCTATCTCTTCTCTCCAGGCTTCTGATATGATAGATAGGATTTTTGAAAGAAAAAGTGATATAAAAACCAATTTCCAAAAAACATAACAAGATAGATAGTGAAACTGAAAAGAACGGAAATAAAATGCTATGAAAATAAATTTTGATAGTGTTCCTGAGCAGTTAGTACCTAGATCTGAAGATGGAGGTTGAGTTGCTGAAATTCTGGGTTAGTACACTTTTACCTATCTGATTCCTTTCTTACCTGCTCTCGTACGAATTCTTGCTCTGCTTTCTGTGCAAAGTCAGATTCGTCTCTCCACGCTGAATGGCTCCTCTATCAATCATTGGTAAGGGAGTAGGAACATCCACTGGAAAAAATGCTCTGATTTATCAAACTTGAATTTTGAAAGTTGTTTTTTACCGATCATTTTCTTGTTCTTAATCAGAATCTTATTTTTCATCTGGAGAGGGCATGGTAGCCTTGGAGAATCTGAGAAGTCGGCTTCAAAGAGGAAGTTTGTAACCAACAAATCGCCGAGCACCGTCTTGAACATTTGTGCCATTTTTGCCTGTTGTTGGAGCGAACAATGATTCTCGATGGATAGAATCACGGGAAGATCCGAAGTGATGAAAGCGGATTTTTTGATGATTTCAACGACCTGAAACGTTTTTAGTGCGATTTTTGTGTTGTTAGGTGCAACTGACCTGTCTAAATCCAATTTTGCTAACAAGAGTGTGTCCGTGATAGATGAGTGGTAATCCATCATCGCCGTCCCAACAGTCAAGCTCTACGCAACGGCACCCGGTGAGGAGAACCTGAAAAGGGGTCGAGTTGTGCTTGATTTCCGGTTTTTGGGAAACATTTGGTTTATTTAGGAACCAGAATTCGAAAAATCTGAATTCTCTTTCCTCTACGTTACAAGAGAATATGTTTTTCTGTTTCATCACTACGAAAAAGGAATTTTATGTCACATGTTTATTAAATTTAGGTTTAACGTGGTAATAATAAGGCAGAGTTTTTTCGAGTTTCATGCCCGTTCGGGCATGATCGCTTCGAGACCCGCGGCGCCTGGAAAGTGTGTGCGCCTTTAATCTCGCGCGTCCTTTTTCTCCGCTCTTCAACGAAAAACATAATATTCCGACCAGGGTACCGTAGTATCTCTAATAAAAGAACACCCTGCCATGCATTGACTTTGAGCTCAACTTACTTGGTTCCTATGAGAAATATTGAAAATTTGCTAACTGGTGAAACATTGGTGATATTATCATAAAAAATTTATCAGTTGACCATTTTCGTTATCTTTCACAGAAAATGAGGTATATGAGCTCGAATTTGCCGCATGTGTGCACGGTATTCATGTTATGACAGTTTTTATCGAATTTGTTAACTTTTGAAATTTTTGAGTCGTTGGTTTTCGTTTATTTCTTAATGATTATTTTTTAAACGTAGGAGCCTATTCGAATCGTCATCTGTAAGCTCAATTACCTCGATTTATGTGAAAGGTATCAAAAATTTGTAAACTGATAAATTATTTACCATGATAGGACCAATATTATATCAGTTGACAATTTTATGATGTCACTTACAGGAATTGAGATAAATTGGGTTGAAGTCAAAAGTTAGGACACAGGTTTTACGGTGAACATTCAGTTTAGTTTTATTAATTCTAAAGTTTGTGTGTAGGTGTATTCAATGTGAGAAAGTTATTTTTACTTGCAAAACTTTTTTTATTTATACTGAAATTTCGATCGTGAGAACACAAAATTTCTCACGAAAAATACCAGGTCATCCTTGAGAATAGCCCAAGAAAGTGATGAAGTTCTTTTAGATCAACCTCTAGAATTTCTTGGAAAAGCTTCTCCATAAAATTTTCCTCATATCATAAAAACCCCAAGCTGTGCCATCTCTCACGCCTTCAATTTTCTTCCTTCGAATCAGTCTAACGGGTCCTCCCGGTGTGAGAACGAGTGTGTATGTGTGTGCGCGCGGAGCTGGTGCCAATTTTAAAGAGGGCGAGATCGACGAAAAACGTTTTTTTTTCTTTTTCGTTTGAAAAAGCCAAAATGCATCGCACGTTGAAACACATGCGTACACTGCTGAAATGAGCCCATGTCCTAGCAAAACCCCTCCTGATGACCCCGCCCGTAGATTTGTTTGTTGTTTTGTGACACAGAAAAAAAACACACAGAGCAAGAAAACACAACACGACGTGTCAATTTAGTGTTTTTCTAAATGTATACTTTACTTACCTTCTTTTCAGAGTATCTGTTCTCTTTTTTTCTTCTTTTTTTCTATTCCCATTCTAACGTCAGAGTCAAGTATCAGGTTTCTATTTCTTCTATACGCCACAAAAACACTCTTATTGACCCAGTGGTCTCTGCTCTTGCAGAAGAATTTTTTGTTCCAAAAATGTTTCATCTCATTTAGGATTCTACGACCTCAAAAACCAACAACAATGTTTCAAAATAGAAAAAAAGCTTTTTCGTGGAAATTAGGCAATTTCCGTTTTCTCTTTTTCTAGCTTGTTTGAATTGCACTTTCAGGGCAGGCGATGATGTCTGGTCTAGGTTTAAAACCAAATCACGTTTTCACCAATTCCCTATTGACAAACCTGTCTGTACATCTCGGAACTGCTGGGTCCCTTCAATTGGTGTCCCGTCAGATAAGTGTTGTGGCTCGAGTTGATGTAATAATGCGATAGTGGGTAGCGCAAATCTTCCTCATCGGGCTCGATGGTTTCCGGCACGAATGCAAAATTGACCGGGTCGCACAAGAAGCGCGTGAATCCCTCGAAAGACATTTGATTTTTCTGACGACATGTGGCATCCGGCTCATGATCCTGAAATTGTGAAATTTGTTTATTAAAAGAGTTGAGATCTCGTGCTTCTTTTTTTCATTCTCTACTTTTTTCTTAATATTTGGAGGTTTCCTTCCAAAAAAATCATAAAAGTTAATTTAACCGCCGGGACATATCAGTTTAATTTAATACCGAAAATACCCTTTTTCAGTGCAAATCAGTAATTTTTTAAGACAATTTTTTTCTTATTGTAGGATTAATCAGAAAGTGACAATTGTTATGGTACATGTAGAATAAAATGCAATTGCATATTTCAAACATTTTCTCAAAAAATGTATCCTTGAAAATTTCGAAATTTTCACGTTTTTACAGACTATATTGAAAAAATGTATTTTTTTGAGAAAATGCCTGAAATATGAATTTTCATTCATTCCAGATTGTTATAAAACGTTTAGAATAGCTTCAGAATAACCTATCTAGACGCGTCCGCTAACATTTCTAGGATTCGATCGCCAGTTTCAGCCGAGTTATATCAGTTTCAGTACCAAAAAATCGCCTTTTCAGTAGTAGTAGTAACATCAATTTTTAAAAACGATTTCCTCAACGCCTGGGACGTTTCAGAACATGAAATGTGTTGTGTTATACTCAGAATGTAATGAAGTTTCATTTTTCAGATATTTTCTCAAAAAAGAAATCTTTTCAATTTTCGATAAAGTTTGGAAAATCGTGAAAAATTTCCAAATTTCCGACAATACATTTGTTTTGAGAAAAGTCTGAAATATGCAATTGCATTGAGTTCCACATAAACCACAACAAATTTGACGTTCTGAAGCGTCCTATAAATCAAGAAAATCTTGTTTCCCTTTGTAAATTCTAAAATTCGTGGAGTTGGACTTTAAGTTCGTTTATTTCAAAAAATCTCATGATTTTTTCATTTTCCGATCTTTCCCAATTTTCAAAGATTTTCCTTTCAAAAAACAAAAGTTCATTTGTCCACTAAGGTCTTGAAAACTTGAAATTTGTTCTCCACATCGCTCTCTCATAAATTAAAAAAGAGCATCCCGGATGTGATTCCCCTGAGGATGTCAACCCCGGAGGCCTTGCTGAAAGCTTTCACTTCTCTTTTCCCAATCCTAGATATAAAACTTTTGCCGTGGAGATATCTAGTTTAAAATCTAGTAGGTTTAGGGTGGGAAAATCACTTTGCTCCAATTCTAAACATAATTGAAACTAGGCGCCAACAAAGGACATGAGAGAGAAAGAGAATCAATTGAGTTTCGTTTTCCTTTACATGTCCTAAATTATTCAAATTTTTTTCCCCAATTTTCACATTGCTGCTTCTCAACCCATAATTTTTTTCTGATCATATCATCACTTCTCATTTCCGCTCTGTTTTTAGTTTCTCAGTAAAACTAACTATATAGTAGTAATTACTAGTTGAAAAAAAGCGAGACTTGTGATTGTTGAAAGAGTGTTGTTGACGCATTTGAAAACGCTTCTTCTTCCCCCCTACCCACGGGACAATGTTGCTAGGCGCGATCCTATTTTTCTGTTTCTATTTTTCAAAGTCGTCATAAAAAATAAAGAGAAAAATAGAAACTTTAGCTCTCGAAAGTCACATTTCTCTAGAACATTCAATCATAAAAGCTCGGAGAGATGCTCTATGTTTTATTGTTTTTCATTTCTTTCATTTCGAAAAGTTTATAGGGCGTTTCTTCTTGTTTGATCTGTTGCAGAGCCAGGCTGTTTCGATTTTTCTAGAAAAATCGAGAATGTTGAAAACGATTTTTCGAAATAAACCCATCTGACAAGAAAACCTCAAAATCTTGCAATTTCAATTTTTCAAGAAAAGAGCAAAATAGATCACAAATAGTCTGTCTAGACATTTTTGAAAATTTTAGAATTCAAGTTTCAGCCGAGTTATATTAGTTTTATTACCGAAAATCTCGTTTACAGTGCAAAACTTTTTTAAATACGATTTTCTCAACATCTAGAGCGTTCCAGAACATGAAATTTGTTTTGTTGTACTTAAAGTTTTGTTTTTTAAACGTTTTACCAAAAATTCTTTTTTCTCTAATTTTCGAACCTTTTCCCAGCACTTGCATACATTCAAAAAAAAATGTTCGAATAATGAAATTTCATTTCAGTTTGATCATAACACAATGATTTCTATGTTTTTGAACATCCTAAATATTGAGAAACTCATTTTTGAAAATTGCTTTTGCACTGAAAACGAGATTTTTGTTACTGAAACTGATATAGCTCGGCTGAAACCGGCGAAATTTTTGGATTCAAAAATTTTCATTGGTTTCTAGATACGCTATTTTTGAATTATCTAGAAAATTTATCAAAATCTGAGTTGAGGTTCCCTTGTCAGTTCAAATTGGAAAGCAAGCCAGAAAATGATTTTTTTCAATTTTTCTAAATGTAAAAATTTGATGCTCTTGATCAAAATCGAAATGGCACTTTCAAATTTATCCATCGCCCTTCTCCTCGCGTTTATCTCAACGATTTCCGTATTTCCCCCTTTTCTACTCTATATCTCATGCACCGATCTCATTCCAGAACACACCAACCACCGGACATTACCATTTTCTTTCTATTCTTTTTTCTCTTTCCGAAAGTCAATCTAAAAAGAGAGTTGAGTCTCCCGGCGCAAGAAGAGGCGAACCCGAGAAAGGTGCTGCTCGAAGCCACGCCCACATCTTCTTCTCCGGCGTCTTCTCCAACAACTACTACATCTCTTTTTTGCGCTCCCGCTTTTACCCCATCCCATTCAGTCATTGCGATGCCACGACCGGCGACCGAAGAGGACGACGTTCGAGCGGCCAGCACCACGTGGACCAATCAGCCAGAGGTGGAAGTCTATGGAGCTGTGGAGCCGGTAACAAATAAATCTTCTATGACAACTCTTCAACACCCAGACGTTCAATCGACACCAACAATGCCCAAAAAAGTGAGATTTCTACTTTTTCTTTTTTTTTGTTCTTTGGGTAGCCCAATTTTTGAAAGAGAGAGAGAGAAAATTTTTGGAGGGGTAAAAAAGACAACCACGACCATCAAAATGAAAATTGTTGGGCAGCATGCACCAATCCTAAATTGCTTCTTCTTCTTTTTCTTTTTACTGGGTTGCGCTGCCCCATTTCTAGAAAGCGAAGACACAATGTTTCAAATTTAAAATATTACAAAAAAAATTTTTTTAGGTCTCATTCGCTGCTGAAGTCGACGAGCAACAGGAGCGGATCAGCAAAGAAGGCGCACGACGGGACGCATGCTGTTCGATTCAGTGAACTTAATTTCTAATTTCCCCACTATTCATTCTTTCCATCCATCCCATCTCCGCGAGATGACACCACCCCACGGGATTTTCAATTATTTTTGTCTAATTTTTTTCTTCTTCAATCAATAAAGTAGCTTTACCTGAATTAACTTGTTCGCCGTTGCCTCGTCAATTTGCTCCATTTGATGAGTGTTGACAAACGCGCGGAGCATTTGCGGTGTGAGCATTGATGATCGCGATGTGTCCATGAGTCCGCCCATGCTGAAAGTGAGAGATTGGAGGGAGAATGTTTATAATAATATATGCCAGTTTTTCGAGGGCGTGGGAGACTCTGGTTTTGAAAGCTCAAAAAAGGATTTCTGAGAATTTCCATCGTTGTTTTGACATTTTTCCTTTTCTTAATATCAGGATATTCACTTATTGTGACTCCTGTGACTCTGACTCGTTTTACGCGCGTTTTGGTTCATGAATAATTTATATGTAAATTGCACAAAAGTTACATCCTAGGCCTCTGCTGTCTTCCATGGAACAAATATATAAGAAAAAAAAACGTGTCTCCTTTTTTTGTGTCCCCACCTTCATTTTGTTTTTTTTTCTTTCTTTTTTTCTTTTCCTACGTCACTTCTTCATTTTCAATGAATAAAACTTGAGATGTCTGTTTTTTTCTTCATCTATTCTTTTTTTTGAGTCGTCAAACTATTATTTTGCAAGACCTTTTTGGCTTTTGACTCTCAAAAAACTTCGTAAAGTTCTTTAAACCCACCTATTAACACTGGCAAGTGCAAGAGCATTATAGATTTTGTTCTGCTTCTCGCTGATGTGATGTGAGCTCACTGTCGTGTTCTTGGTGAGGAAATCTGAAAATGCAGAATTTTTCGTAAAACTGAAAGCCAAAATTTCATACCATTTGACAGAAAATCGGCGTTGTATGAATTCGAGACACTAGCAAGTCTGGACTGCATTCTGGGGCTGTGACGATCGCGTTCCCGTTTTGGACAGTGTTGTGGTGTGGTGGCGGTGGATAAGACATCATTGAACACATCTCTGAAACATAAATTTTTGATGAAGACAGAGAGAAAAAAGCGAGAGGAAAAAATGATAAAAAATTATTGAATAAATAATAATGACTGCTAAAAAAAGATACCTCAAATCCTTCCTCATTCTGGTGTTAAAGAGTCGGAAGAGCTCTGCAAACTCCACAAGAGTCAGTGGTTTCTCTTGGAACTCTTTTCCGGATGGACCGCTTAGGCCAGAGACTTGAATTGACATTTGACCGGAACTGCTGATGGAGCCAGAGTTGGGAGTTTCTCCACCACGTGATCGCCATGATTTGCACGATCTTCCTCCGACAGAGCGACCTGTAAAGAGTTGTATAATGTTGTAAAATGATACCTGTTCCCAATTAATATTGCGAAATTGACCTGTTAAAAATCATAAAATGGTCATAAAACTCTAAATATAGACTTTTTGAATATACCGAACGCGATATAGAAAAACGTGTTTTTCAGTTGATTTTCGACCATTTTTTACATTTTAAAAATTCTGGAGCTCGGCAGTCTAGTTTCCAATCATTTCAGAATTTCGGAGGGTGTAAAACAAAATTTGAATAAAAACTTTAAATTTACAGAGTTTTTTTTTAATTTATAGTTTTTTAGCTATTGCAAGTTTCTGAAATACATCGCTTTTGGCCCGTTTTTTGTACCGAAAACATGAAAAAAACAAATGTTTTTTCAGAAATTGGAAATTTGCTGAAGAAATAGGAATTTAAAAGAATTGCATAACTGCAAAGTTTTGAATCTAGGTCTGCTTTACACCCTCCAAAATTTTCGAAATGATAGGAAACTTGGCAGCTGAGCTCCATAGTCCTTAAAATGGTTAAAATGACCCAAACGTTTTTTGTATATCTAGTTCTGTAGCCTCAACTCACCTCCATAGGAACTGCTCGTCGGTGTCCTTGATCTTGGCGTGTAGATACTATCCAGGTCTCCGGCGTCACTGTTTGCTGGCTCGCCACGTGGCTTTAACAAGTATCCAGGAGAGTTGGGACCTGGTGGACCGGATTGGGAGGATATTTGAGATTTGATCGATGGCGGACGAACAAGTGGAGAGTGTGGTTGTGGAGATTGGGATCGGGATCCTTCTCGAGATGCTCCGCGGAGCTTCTTTTGCATGGCATTTTTCAGATTTTTTAGTCTTAAAATGACTTGAAGTTACAGTAAACCGAATTATCAAGATTTTGAAATACCCTATATTTCATACCTGAACTTCAAGGTCAAGTATCTCGGTCCCTATAAAAATATGAAAAATCTGTCAATTGATAAATTATTCACCATAATATTGCTAAAATTTCGTCAGTTGACCGATTTTTGATATCTCTCCTAGGAGCTAACATAATTGAGCTCAGAATAAATGTATCGTAAACAGTCTGATAAGACGACTTCCGAATTAAAAATTTGAGTCAATTTATCACATTTTCTGTGAAGAATATCAAAAAGCTGTCAACTGAAAAATCGTTTATGATATCATAACAAATTTTTTATCAGTTGATAGATTTTCGGTATCTCTCATAGGATCCGAGCTACATCGGCTTAATTATTAGAGTTAGAGACGCTGTTCTATTGAAGTGCTTACGGTGTATGGTAGTGTTTTTTCAAATCTTTATGGTATCAGAAACGTCATTGTCTTGTTAATTAATTCCACGAGATTTTTCAACTTTAACGTATTTCTATAAGGTGAACATTCCCATAACATACCTGCTCTTTGCACCTCCTGGCTCACTGGACAACGACGAGTCATTGGGTCGAGTTGCACTTGTATTCGTTTGGCTCAACCCTAAAAGTGTGAGGGTTACCGAAACATTTTGCATACTTTAAGTGATCAGAAAGCGCTTTTTTATCAACAGAATGTGCTCCGAATATAGAAAGAAAACCCAAAATGTGGGCGGGATAGAAAATTCACAGCAAAAACGGAAAGCGTTTTTTATAACATTGATTGTGATGTCCTGACCTCTCTCTTCTCACTTTGCTTGATAAAATTTGAGCATACCAACACATAGCATAGAAAGAGAGGAAACAAGTGTGGAAGCGAAACAAAAATAACATAGATAACAATTTCTTCTTAACCTGTATGGCTGCGCGTACTAGTCACAAAAACAAAAAATCAACAAACCAAAGCCTTTCCAACGCTCAACTCGCCCACCAAATGCTTGAAGTGCTTCGAACGGTCGTGGTCCGCAGTTGGCTTCACCGGTGATCTCATACAAGGACAGGTACACATTTTTGATCCACAACATACGACGGTCCGGGTATCTTTGTTGTCCTTGAAGACTTTTTACCACAGATTGTAACCCGTTCGTCCAAAATGGGCGATTTGCTGGGGTGCCAGGAAATAGATAAACTCGTTATCAGAAAGCAACTGTCCATGACTGACTTTCCAGCAACTGACCGGAACCGACATTTCTTCCATAGAATGACGCCGATAAATAGCCTATAAACTCATTTTATGTATTTTCATATTTTTTTCTGCTTCTAACCTCAATGTCAATATCGTAGCTATCAACCAGTTCAACGCCCTTCACAACACTTAATTTGAGTTCTCCTTCTTCAACTCCTACACCTCCTGTTCCCGGAGCTCTTCCAGATGGCATTGGAGACGCAGCACCACGACCTGAGTCAAGTGGTTGGAGATTTGCAACGGACACTTTGGCAAGCACATCCTGAATCATTACAAATTAATTACTTACTATTTTTCTCTCTTCTATTATTCTCACTTTTTCCTTGGGATCTCTGTTCACAGAGTAGGAGATTTTATGCCAGTTGATTTGTCCACAACTTGGATCAAGTCTGAGCAGACACAGATTGCTTCGTCCCGAGTCTGGCTCATAGTGGATGACTGTTGTTCCGTGTTGGAGACGTTGGATGACGTCAAGGTCGAAGGTCAGTGTGTCAAGTGGGATAAGAGCCACTCCATGAGAGGAACCACGAACCACTTGCACTGGTTCATAGGCTGAAATTTTGTTTTTCAGGCTTCTATTGTTTCAAGTTCTTAAAATTTACAAAAAAAAATCAAATATACAACGAAATCTATCGTAATTGCGAAATTACATGAACTAAATCATAAAACGCCCATTAAAAATATTAGAAATAACCCTAAAAAATATAAATATAGATTTTTTAATATACAGTATCGGTTAGTCAGACATACCAAAACCTATTTTTCAGTTCATTTTTGGCCTTTTTGACCATTTTCAGGATTCTCGAGCTCGGCTGTTAAGTTTCCAATCACTTCAAAAAATATGGAAGATGTAAAACAGACCTAGATTGAAAACTTTGTCTTCACAGAATTAAAAAATATATTTTTTTCAGCTATTTTCCAATTTCTGAAATACACTTTTTTGTTCTGTTTTTGTGATGACAGTGAAAAAATAGGTGTTTTTCACAAATTGGTAAATAGCTAAAAAATTAAGAACTTTAAAAAATTCTGTGAATCCAAAGTTATTAATCTAAGCCTGTTTCACACTCTCCGAGATTTTCAAAGTAATCGGAAACTTGACGGCCGACCTCCAATCTACTGAAAATTCGCAGAAAATGTGACCGGTACTACAGTACTGGCCAAAAAGATATTCGCAAACGGTTTTTTGAGAGTAACTTTGCTGAAACTTAAGGGATCGATCTGAAAATTTTACTGTGCATGTCGTACACGGTGACGACAAATTGCGTACAAGGAAATTGCATCATTTTCAGAAATTTTTTGTTTTTTTCAATTTTTTCAATTTTTTCGTTTTTTCACTTTTTTCATATTTTTATATTTTTGGATATTATGGTTTCTAAGAATGTTGGTTTTGGCTCCTATGTATTTAAAACTGTTTACAGACATGGCCAGACCCCTCGGAAAAAAAAACATCTCTCAGGACATCCGTAAAGCCATCGTCATCGGCTTCAGAAGTGGATGTTCCAAGGACCTCTTGGCGCAGCAGTTCAATGTTACTAAACGTGCCATCGAGAAGATCTTGAAGCAGTTTCGGGATGAGGTAATATTCAAAAATAGTATAGTTATGGAAAAAAATGTTTAGGGAGCCTTGGTGGAGCGAAAATCGCCTGGAAGACCGCGTATCACGTCGAAGAACATGGATCGGAACATCGTCCGAGTTTCAAGAGAGGATCCCCAGAGGAGTTCTACGGACATTCAGATGGTCGTGAAGACACCAAATGAAGTCACACCATCCCTGAGAACCGTCAGAAGACGTCTTCAAGATGCTGGACTCCATGGACGACGGCCAGCTAAGAAACCATCGATCAGCAAGAAGAACAGAATCGCCCGCGTAGCATGGGCCAGAGCTCATCTCCACTGGGGACGTCAGGATTGGGCTAATCACGTGTTCAGCGACGAATCCAAGTTCAATCTGTTCGGTACTGACGGTATCAAGTGGATTCGCCGTCCGGTTGGATGTCGGTTCGATCCCAGCTACCAGCTCCAAACCGTCAAGCATGGAGGTGGATCGGTGATGGTCTGGGGCTGCTTCTCTGGGACTTCAATCGGCCCGCTGAGAAGAATTACAAGCATCATGGATCGCTTTGTGTATGAAGACATCTTGGAGAACACAATGAGACCCTGGGCAAGGTCTACTGTGGGCCGGGCGTTCTTTTCCAACAGGATAACGACCCGAAGCACACCTCGAAGCACATCAAGGAGTGGTTCCGACGCCGCCACGTGGATCTTCTGGACTGGCCAAGTCAATCTCCGGACTTGAATCCGATCGAACACCTCTGGGAGCATGTCGAGAGACAGCTTAGAGGGGTTCGTGCCTCGAATGCCAACCAGAAGTTCGACCAACTCCAAGATGTCTGGCAGGCCATCCCGATGTCTGTCATCGACACCCTTCTCGACTCGATGCCAAGAAGATGTCAAACGGTAATCGACGCCAAAGGCTTCCCAACGAAGTACTAAAGCTATTTTATTCATTTTCTATTATTATTTTTCGTTTACCGGTCTATCCTAGATCTCAGAAGTCAAAGTTCCATTTACCGGTTTTTTGCAATTTTCATGAATTTTTCGATTTTTTTTCAATTTTTTGAAATTTTGACTATTCTTGTTGTTGAATCAGTTTCTTTTACCGTTTTAAACTTTGTCTTAAAATATCAGATTGATCGGGAAGTTTCAGAAAAGTTATGCTCGAAAAACTATTTGCGAATACCTTTTTGGCCAGTACTGTATGTACAACACAAAACAACTCAATTTTATTGGGGAGGGGGGCTAAAATTACTGTAATCTAAATAAAATCTTACTCTTCGTTTCTTTTTCTTTTTGTTCTCGCTCATTCTGCGGAATCTGAGTGGTGGCGATAGCTTGATCCTCCAGCATCTTGATCATAGTTCGACTATGCCGGTGGAACAGTTCCAAGTTGTCCAGTACTGAAAAATCATTTCTTATTGAAACATTTTTTTTTGCCAGTGAAGAATAAACACTCACCAATAGCAACCAAATTGATTTTATCGGCATTCAACAGGCCGCCAACTCCGATTCTAGACGAGAAATGATCCTCTCCGTTGGGATCGCTCATAAACTCGAGCTTCTGCGTTTCGCCTTCTTGTCCAATCACCACAATGTTCGGCAAATCGTTGACAATGGCGTAGAGATCGCGAAGGAAGATTCCGAAAAATGGAATGACACGAGATTGAGGCATCCGGAGAGCACGCTGGACTGCGTTGATGTAGGCTTGTGACGGAAGTGCTTGGTTGGCCGGCAGCAGTGTTTCACAGAGCTAAATGAGTTTGAATTTAGGGTTTAATGTCAATTGAACTTTTTTCTGTTGTCTTCTGAGTTCGCGGGAATAGCTGATTTGAATTTTTACATGAAAAAAAAACTAACTGAATCGAATTGAGACTTTTCTTCCTGTCGAAGGGACAACCAGAATGGTCTTAGCTTCTCGCTCTTAAGTCCCATTAGAACTTCTACTGCTGCATTAAAATTTCCAATGTTCCAACATGTTTCCACAATTCTGAGGATGGCAGTGAGCGCGACTTTCCGGTCGTCATGGGTTGGCTGACTGACAATGACGTGGGTGATCCAAGAAGAAACCTACAATGTTGAAGGGTTAAAGGTTAAAGAATCATGTCTAGCTTATTTCTTCTAGTAGAAGCCTACCCAAACCGAGAGTTTTGTTTTGTTTTTTTTTAAATGTATCTCGATTTCTGAAAAATTACTTAACATGATATCAGCAAATTTGTTTTAGTGGACATAGTCTGTTATCTTTTACAGGACTCGTTAAGCTCTACGTTGACGGTTCAGGTAGTCTTCTATTAGAAGAAATACGGTAGTTTTTTGTGGAATTTAATACTCAACGTACCTCTGACAACCGCTTGACAAGATTCCGAACTGGACTTGGATTCTCCGAAACTGGTACCGATGTCAGATCACAGCTCACATAACGAACATAATCCATCGGTTGGATGGAGTAAAAAAGCTGATACTCGGTAGAAGAAAGCTGGAAGGCAACTTCTTCGGGAAAATGAAGAATGTACTGTAGTCGTTCGAGTTCGAGTCGGAACAAAGTGATGGGTTCTTCATTTAAAATGAATCCGGCGGTGGCTGATTGTGTGGACGAGGTGGAGTCACTACGTGACGTTGCTGAAATAGGAATTCGGTTTTGTTATGGCTCTTTGATCTCGGGATCTGGTGAGCCAGATTCTTCAGGCTTAGAGCAGAACTTGATTTGTAGTAACAGTAATCCCTTTTTTCGTGAATAATTAGAATGAAAATTTTTAGTTTTCTGAAAAACCATAAATTTTCTAACAGAACGCTACCGTAGACTTTCAAAGTTTTTCATAGTACCACCAACATTTCCACAGTTCGTAGTTTTTATACAGTACCAAGATATATAAGAACGTGTTTTTCAGTTGATTTTCACATTTTCAAGAGTCTGGGGCAAGTTTCCGATCATTATGAAAGTCTGTAAAATAGACCCAGTTTAAAACCTCGGATTCGAAGAATTTTTTGAAAACTCCTAGTTTTCAACTTTTTGCCTAATTCTAAAAGACACCTGTTTTTTTCAAGTTTTCTGTACAAAAATGGACTAAAAAAGTGTCTTTCAAAAATCTGCAAATAGTTGATGAAGCAGAAATTTGAAAAAATGATCCGTGAATGCAAAATATTTAATCTAGGTCAGTTTCACAACCTCTAAAGTTTCCAAATTGATTGGGAACATCACAGCTGAGCTGTAGACTCCTGAAAATAGCCGCAATCAACTGCATACTTGTAATCCGGGCCTTTGCCGGGCCTTCGCAGGCCTTGCCATTTTTTCTTTCAGAATTAATATTTTCGAACCAACTAAATCAGATATGATAGCGCTCCACGAGTACACTCTGTTCATAGACAAGATGGTTAAGATGGGTAAGCCACTTTATGATCTGTAACTTTGTTCATAGATAAAATATAGTATTCCAAATAATACCGTTTTGTAGTACTCGTGGAGCTCTATCATATCTGATTTAGTTGGTTCGAAAACATTGATTCTGAAAGAAGTTATAGCAGGGCCCGGATTACAAGTATGATCAACTGAACAAAAAATACAATTTTGTGCATTTTATTGACCGGTACTATACTATATCAGAAGTTCGTCAACTGATAAAATGTATGTCATAATATCACATTTAATATATTGACTCGTTTTCGACATCTCTTACCTAAATTAAGATAATTAGGTTCGAATTGCACGTATACGGTATCTTGATTTGTATTCAATTTTTCTAGAAGTTTCCCTTCGGTTTTAGTTTTCACCATCTCCCCACTCTGTCAAAAACAAGCAACAATCAGTTGGCTATTCGATACGAGGGTCCCAAGAAAAAACCGACTTGGTTTTCTTCTTCTCGCCCCATGTGCAATTAGGGTTTTGAATTGTGCCTCTTGGTATTGTGTTGCAATTTTTTTCTGGGTGCCTTCTCGAATTTTCTCTCTCATCTTCTTTTATTTGGTCAGTGTTTGTGATTTTGGTGTCAAAAGGAGAGGGGGAAGGATATATGTCGGAAAAGGGGGCTGTATGCATATCTGTTTTTTCCGTGACCCCAACACATTCTTAGTGAAATTTTTGAAAGCCGAGAAAGAGGAGAAGAAGAGGAGGAAGGAAAAAGCTGGCCCGCTAACAAAAAATTACTTCCATGAGAACGAATTGTTTAGTTTTAGTTTCGAAACAAAGAAGCAGAAGGAAAAGAAAAAGAACGTTTTGGGACACACCCTTTTTTGTCTGTGGATGATGGTCCATCATCATCGTCCCAACCGAATTATACGAGCGTCAAACTTGCACAACCAAGAAGAAAAACCAAAATGGCTTGAGCTTCAACACAAAAAATTCGATTTGAGCTGATTCGCTTTAAAATTTCCTTCGAATTTTGTTTTTCCTGGGTCTAAATTTGCTTTTTTTTGCTTGAGTTTCTGAGGAGAGAAATTAGTTAACTCAATGTTTGAGGCTCGAAAGGATGGCAAGATATTTTTGCTAGGAATTTAGCTTTTGAATCTAAATGATCAAGCTAGAATATTCTTCTTGGGAATTTTCTTAAAATTCAAAATTTAAAGCGAAGGTCAGAGTTACATGGGATCAAATTTGCTAATTGGCTATTTTAAATTTTCTAATTGAACCTATAAATTTTATTCCCGGAACTGAAATATCTTTTAAAAAATATGCTTATAATTATAGAAATAGTTTTTAGGTTTGAAATTAAAAATAGTTCCAAATGAAAGCACTAAATTAGATTTTTTTCAAATCATGATACATTTTAGAAAGAGTTGACACAGAAAAACTTTCAGATTTGATCATTTGTGCTAGATAATATTGGTTCCAAGTTTCCAGAACCCTTATACTGTGTTTCCTCTAACAGAACCTCCTCCAAACCGCAAATTTTAAGTTCCATTATCTCGATAACTGTAAAAGATATTGAAAATTTGTCAATTGATAAAATATTTGCGACATTATGATAAATAATTTATCTGTTTACAAAGTTTTCATATCTTTCGTAGGAATGGAAATAATTGAGCTTGAAACTACGTTTTTAATAGAGACAATACGGCATTTCGCAGCATTTTCTCTCATACAGTAGCCAAAAACAAGAGCTTGAACTCTCAAAACTTCCGATCAAAATTGCACTTATCTCCCAATTTCATCTATTTTTTCAAAAAAGTTTATTTTTAGTGACTAGCATTTTTTTTTCTTTATTCCGGATATCTACACTTTCATCTGGAAACTTCTCAAGACGAAACAGCCAAAAGGGAGGGGAAAAAACAGAAAACTCAAATGTCGAACGAGATAAGAAGTGGAACTTCTTTTTTTCTCATATAAAAAAGTTGGATATTTGACATCAGTTTTTTTTCTTGCACACCCTTTTGGGACTCTCAGACTGCAGAAGCAAAGAGACTTACCAAGATTACAAACATAAACCAGTAGACTATCTGGATCGGGCGGAATTTCAGGCTCCTCATGATCGTGAGATTTTCCGAGTGCATGAAGCAGACGGGACACAACCGATGTCATCTTACTTTCATGAGGCATTTTTGATGAATCATAATATAGAGTTAGGGTACAGTAATATTATCCAAAAATATTATAATAATCGAAAATGTATAGGGGAGTGTTTTAGTGCCCAAAGCTCGGCTGCCGTTTAGTGACGAAAAACCCAACAGATAAGAGATGGCACCCGTTTCAGGAAGGCAGCGGAAGAAATTTTTGACTCAGATCTACTAGAAGGCGGGCGGCAGATAAATGGGCGAAAAAAAAAAAGAAAGGAGCAGCAGAAGAAGAAGAAGATGCCAGAGGAGGAGGAGGAAAGAAACTGGAGGCATCTTGGATCTTTGCGTGCGTTGGGCCTTTGCCACCAGCCCAGAATTTTCCCTTGAGAATTGCGTTCATATTTTTCAGTTCGCACTGATTGGTTAGAATATTGGGGGGAGGAAAGGAGGGTAGGAAAAGGAACAAATGGTGGGAATGAATCAAAAAAGTTTGAGAAAACACTTTTTGATTTTTGATGGATCTAACATCTCTTGTAAGATTTAATGATGGATGAATTATTTCTTCAATAAAAACATTTAGAATTTGTGAGCATTGAAATATTTGACAAGCGATTTTGTTCAGAAATTTTGCAAATAAAAAAAATAAATATCAAAGAATCAAAGAATCAAAATTCTTTGAAAAATGAGGAAACACAAAAAGTTAAAATTTTCTAAATTTTTATAAGTCACTAGAGAAGTTAACCTTGCCGACCAACTATTGGAAAGACTGCTCTGTTAAGCGCCGTGCAACGCAAATGCCGCCACCAGTTGTCGGCCAGAGACGTACAGTAACGGTCAATAAAAAATACAGAAACTAATTTTCCGTTGATTTTTTGGCTATTCTAAGCATTTTCAGACGTCTGGGTCTTGGCTGTCAAATTTCCAATAATTTTGAACATTTTGAAGGGTGTAAAACAAATCCAGACTGGAAACTTTGAATCCTCGGATTATTTTAGAAAATTTTTTTTTTTGTTTGCCAAGTTCTGAAAACCCTTCTTTTTAGGCGTTTCACGTACTAAGAACTTGGAAAACCTGGTTTCTTTCATTGGCAAATACCTAAGGAAATCCGGAAAAAAGTTCTGTGAATGCAAAATTGTCAATCTAGGTCTGTTTTACACGCTCCGAAATTTTCGAAATGTTCGGGAACTCCACACTTGGGAAAATGATAAAAACAGCAGAAAATCAAGAGAAAAATTGTTTTTTTTGTATATCTTAATCACCGGTACTGTACATGATTGGGGTATTATAGCTAACATTAAAAATAGTGAATATAGCATTAACACAAAAAATGCGTGATCTGGGCTCTGTTGGACTTTACATTAAAAAATTAATAAATCTGAATCCTCAATAATCAGTTAGAAGCTGAAACATGTGAAGTCCCGTATTGAAAAAATGAAATGGGGTAGCTAAAGTAAAACGACTGTTATCACTAGATTTCGAAATTTCAAAAAAAAAAAAACTATTACTAAAGCATAAAAAGCAACCTTTTAAAATTGTGCTTATCAGTTTTCAGATAAAATAGAAATTCCAAAAATTGTTCTATTTTGACTTTCCATAATTCTAACCCACTTGTTGATCTTACCTCAACAACCACACCCTTGTGAAATATTGGATTATTCATACTATTATCATAACAAAAATTCTTTTTACGGTTTTCTTTTTTTCCAGACACAAAAAAAAACCCAAATATTTTGACAAACTTACGATGAATATAAGCTGGGATGGTACGTTTTGTCAAACGTCTCGTTTTCAGCACGCTTTTCAAAGTGTCCCAGTTCATTGCATTTTGTTGTTGAGATATATTTTGATGGTATTCTATTTACAATGATTACTGTAAGGGGCTAATTTCTATTTAGAAGATATTCAAAGAGCAAAAGACCAAAAGGTAAGATAAGAGAAAGAGCGTATAAGAAACAAAAAAAAAGAAGTTGGGACACGTCGTTTGTATAATATCAATGCAAAGAAGATGATATTGATGTTTTTGGCCTCAACTTTTTTTCTTATCCTTTCCAGGAGACGAAAAAAGTGACGGTTTACCACAAGGAGGAGAGAAAAAGGAAGGACAACAAGATCATGAACGTGTGAATGAATCATTCTAGGCGAGGAGCACTGATAGTAAGAGTTTCTGTTTTGGAAAAAAAAAGGAAAAATCGCTGCACGTGAGTTCTTTTTGTGGTTTTCAAAATACAAAAGTGTTTTGGATTAGATAACTCAAAAAAGAAAGAAAATCGATTTGAAAAATAGTATGAATCATACAATTTTTCAGGATTTTCGGGTTTCAAAAACAGGGAAAACTACATTTTGGTTTCAAAATTTTTCTAGTTGCTTCTCAAAAAAAGTAGATCATAAGCCAAAAACTGCTAAAGACCTCACATATTGGAAATTCTATTGGAATCAGTAACCACTGATAGTAGTAAAAAAACGCGGGAACACAAGCGAGAGTAGTCGGGAAAATGATGTTATGAAACTGTCAAAACGATGACGTCTATCACTAAAGAGGAAAAGAGAAATTTGCATTTAGAAGGATTTTGAAATCAAAAAAAAAGATCACACATGTTTTGGTGATGATCTTTAAAATTGGTTGATTTGAACATTTTTCAGAAACTTCTTTTTCAAAAAACAGTTGGTTTTGAACATAGATTAATCTTGAAAAAAGATAGCAACATACTTCTCCCGAAAATCTAAAAAAAGAAATTTTAATCCCAAATAAGAGGGAAATACGATAAGAGTCAAAAATGCTACTCTCAAAGGTGTTTACACTGATAAGAAGTATAAGGAAACCAAAAAATAAGACTAGAGGAGACCAGTAATTTTTAAAAATGGGGTTGAAATGATTTCAGAAAAAATATTCTAGTTGAGGATCAATTAGTTGAAAATGATAGGGCACAGGAATGTAGGAATCCTATTACGATTTCTCTCTTTTTCTCGTACTATCTATAACAGCCCCCCGAATGAACCTGAATGGGATTTCTTAATGGGGCATAGTTGACAGTTTAGTGTTGAAAGAAGGAGGCAAAGTTCTTGACTATCAATTCGTTTTCAGAAAGTTTTTCAAACGAGAAAACCAACGTACAGACTGTCGCCTCGGTGTGAGAACGATGCATCGACTGGTTGAGACTGCGCTGGATTGAATTGCTAGCAGAATTTTGCATAATCTCCCATAATGTCATTGATATCGATTTCAGTGCATTATACGATGGCGCTGCAAAAAAGAGATTTTATACACTTTTGAAACAGATAAGGTTACACTTTTAAAAGCACTAACGAAGTGGTTTTTTTTTGCTAAGAGGGGAGAAATGAGCAATATGATAGGCAGGATAGACGCATTTCCGTGGTTTCAAAATTCTAGTGGTTTTTTTTCTTGTGAACGTTGGTCAAGATAAAGATGTACTCAAACTAGAGTTTTTACTTAATTGTTTCAAATTGAAACAGTTTCACAATAAGAAAATTTTTTCGGACATTTTAGAACTTTTTCAGTATTGAAAAAACCGGACCCATCGATGGGCCGTGATTTTCAGTTACAGTAGTTACCATAATTTCGAAGTGCAAAAAAAAATTTAATCAGAAAAATTTCGATTTCAGTTACAACTTTGATAAAAATCTGGGAAATCAAAACATTTCGTTTGTCAGAAATGAACTCGACTAAGAATTAGAATAAACTTAAATTTTGTAGTTTCGAAGGTTTGAGTTGCACGAACATTGATATAAATAAAAAACAGAAAATTTTCATTTTTCTTTTTTTTTTCAAATTACATATTTTGAAAGAAATATTTAGAAATTTATTTTTCAAAATGTATTTTTTAAACAATTTGTTTTAAACAGTAATTGAACATTTGTGTGCATCCTGATTTGTTTTATCAGTTTTGAATAATTATAGGTTATCTTTTTCTGAGCAAATGAGAAACACTAGTCTTTCTTTAAAGTATAAGTTTGATTTACAAATGGTCTTTCATGACTTCGTCATAAGACTACGGTCTCTAATAGCCTATCCACGTACACTTCGAGCTCAATTATCTTGGTCCCTTCAAAAACATGTTGTATCACAAAAAAAGTTGGACTGGTAAATCATTTATTATAATATCACTAATATTTTATCAATCGACACATTTTTGATTTCTTTGAAAGGAACAGAGATAATTGAGCGTAATTTTTATAGGGCGGCCTTCTATTAATCAAGTACGATAGATCAAAACTCAGGTTTTCGAATAATTTTTCCGTAAAAGCTCATTATGGCCTGTTTTCCAGTATGCTTCTCACTTACCAATAAGTTGCCACTTGGTTCCACGAAACTCCAAAAGCAATTGATGCTTGCTGACACCTCCACCAACTCTCCACTGTTGCAGCGTCGACGCGTGCTGTCTTTTCAGCACAAGTTTTGTGGATCCGTCAAGTAGACACAGTTGGGCAGACGATAGACAGAGTAGTCGTAGAGTCTGTGGAGAAAACCACTATTAGAAAGCGAGAATACGGACTGTCCCCCAGAAAACCCCAAAATGAAACTGAAAAGGATTGAGAACCGAGGGAGGATGGATCAAAAAACCACGGAAGACGTTGGGTAGAAAAAATGAAAGAGACTACATGCAAGATGTTCCATCCAGATTAATTCCTCTAGAAAAAAATTTCTAGACATGTGAAAAAAATAACGAAAAAAGAGAACACGAAGAATGATGAGAGAAGGCAAAATAGAAAGAAAAAAAATTGAGAACGACGCAATTATGCGGTAACGCAACACATGAGCTTTGAGAGCTTTCAAGATGTCGCCTGATTTCTATTTTTTCTTTAAGGGAAATCCTCCCTTTTGAAAATTCAGGAAAAAAGTAAACAAGTTTTTTAAAGACCATAAAAAGTCAAAGATAGGAGGAAATGGGTGTAAACATCAAAAACGAGTGGACACACAAGGAAATTTCTCGAATAGTCGCTCAGGCGTCGGACAATTGAGTTTTTTCATCATTCTCGGATCGTTTTGCCTTACCTGTTAAGTAACAAGTTGTTAGACAGAAACGCAGAAAAGAAGAGACTCAGACAAAACAAAAAGTAGAAAAAATTGTGTTCCCGACAATTGAAAACGAGTGGTGTCCTACTGTTTGTTTTCTTTAGGGGTTGTTTCCCGGTTTCGGAATCAATACCCCTGACAACTAATTGCTTTTGAGTCATGGAGCGGCTGAAAATTGAGAAAATGGAAAAAAGAAAATCGAAATTCCTAAAAAATTTTTCCCACTTCACCCAAGTTCTAATCCGATCAGCAAATAATGTCCGTATCCTGCAAAACTCGGACGGTAAACCCCAAAAACTTATTTTTCCAATTTTTAGGATTTGAAACAGTCAGCGAAGTTTCAAATTTAGTAAAAGTTTTATTCACAAAAAGCTGTTTTTGTTTTTTTAGTTGAAAAAATTCAAACTAAATGAGCAAGGCCGTATGTATTTGAAGTGAGGTCTCTCCTAAGAACAGAGTCACAGAACAAAGCGTCTCGCACTCTACACAATCACTATAAGATACGCAAAAAGAGTGGAGGGGAGGTTAGACTTCGAGTGCGTGTCAATATAACCCAAGCATTTTCGAGTTTCAATTTGTTTTTCGATATTTCATGATATTCTCGTACCCTGGATAATTGTTTATTCTTAAAAAATCAACTGAAATTTAGGGGAAAATTGGAGGAAAACTCCTTCTTTCATTATATAGGGATATTAATTTTGATTCATGTTAACACTTTTAAGAAGATCGGTCATTCTTAAAATACCGCATTATTATTTAATTTGAACTATGAATTTCATAACTTCTCTACTCGAAAACTGATGTTTTTCAATACATAAAAATAGCATACCATATCTTTCGAGATATTCAGCTCAAAATGTATTCTCTTGACTCCAAAAACAGGAAAACCTTTTTTTTTTTTTGAAAAATGAACTCAGTTAAATTTTTGAGAAAAAAAACGATTTTCCAAAGAAAACTTTCAAGGCCTGTATCAGAAAAAAAATCAAAATGAAATCCAAATTTCGAAAATTGCGGAAATGATTTCGTAACTGTACTTTCTCGGAAACAATCGCGAACAAAACAGAATGTTTGTTCAACATTCTGGACGGCTTTGGAACTAACAAAAAAGTGGTTAGACACGGAAAACTGGATGAAAAATTTAAGGTCACCGACCATCGAACAATAACTTTTACTGTTTTTGTTTTGTACTTATTCAGGCGGAGGACTCGTAAACAGATTATTTAAAATCGAAAAGATAGAACTTTCTGGATAGAATTTTTTAGCTACAGTACTACGTCAAACTCACTTTTCGAAGTGTTCGTCCGTGTAGCAACTCTTTGACTTGAAAAACTTTACAACCAAATGCGGCGAGTTTTTTGGCGGTCTGAAAAAATTTGAGCAAATAGGCATAGTGACTAGGTACAGACATTAAAAATTTTTTTGAGACTCACAAAAAAACTTGGCTATTATCCATAAAAGCATAAAAAAGTGATGTGCTAGCAGGTGTAAACGTTTGTAAAACTAACAACAAAGATTAACTCTACAAAATTTGATTCTTGCTCAAGTTGAGCACAACCCCGACCGACGAAAAACATTTAATCATGGGTTTTCTCAGGATTTTTTCGGATTTCCTCTACGGATTATTGTTCCCTGACTTACACTGATGTACAATTTCTTCATGTCAATTTCGCTCTCGTAGACATTAGTGTGAAACAATTTCCTCTTCCTTTCTTTAACAAGTTTTATCGTTCTTCGGTCTCCTCTCCAATCAATCGGTAGACATTGAGCTTGCATCTCTTCTGACATCAACCCATCCGTATTGGTTATACACCTCAACAAAGTCGGAGTTCTGGATCTGTGTTGATTTTCCTCAACCACTGATTGAGCTCTGCTGGCGTTGGTGGACTCGTTCGGGAATCTTGGTGGTGTACAGTAGAGATTTTGATCTACTTCCCATGGGGTGACCATGATTTTTTGAGCGAGGTCTCGGATTCGACCTAAAAAAAGTGATTGGAGACATTACTGGATAAAAATATCAAATGTTTTGGGTTTTCCGAGTTTTTTGAAGTTAAGATTTTTTGAAATTTCTGAATTTCTGAATTTCTGTATTTCTGAATTTCTGAATTTCTGAATTTCTGAAATTTTCAAAATTTTTAAACTAAAAAATTATTTATCATAATATCGCCAATATCTTATCAGTTGACATGTTTTTGATACCTGTCATAGGAATCAAGATAATTGAGCTCAAATTTCACAGTTTGGGTGAACTTCTATTAGGGACAATACGGAATCTGTGTTCAGTAAACTCTGAAATTTGCAGACAAATAAAAAATTCTAGATCATTTTTTCCAGGATTTCGAAGTTTACAACCTACATTCCACTAATAAAATTCGAAATAATAACTTCTGCTCTTTTCTGTCAACGTTGCTTACTTACCAAACTGTCCTTTCAATAAATGCCTTCTAATAGTCTGTGTTCTTTTGTTGCTGGGCCATTGCTCTTCAACTGACAACTGAATACTTGCCAGATAAGCAGCATCCTCTTTTGGACACGGTAAGCTTCCGGATATCACTTGGTCTTGGAACTGGAAAACATGGTTTTATTAAAACTCTCAATTGTATGAGTTACTCTAAAAATTACAACTTTCCGCCCTGATTTTGACTTGACAATTCTGTCAAATAGCTTATGATCAATAAGATAATTGATTGAGAATAACACATTTCTGCTATCACTCGCACTTTCATTCCGACGAAAATTCAGGGAGTCACCCATTCTCGAAATAATAGAATTGCAGTAGCAGGTGAATAGGCACAGTTGGTTCTTGAAACACTTTTCGTATTCGTTTTCAATCGTCCACGAGTCAAATACAAAGAAATCGCTAGTTGAGGGAAGTCGTTGAATAAGTTCCCAAATCTTCTTTTCGTCATGGTCTATCGTGAGAAATGTGTATTTTGGATTGACACGTTTCTTTTCTTGGTTAGGGTTCAGAGATGAGGTTTTCTTCTTTTTCTTTGATTTGAAATCAAGTTTTTGAATTATAGTATCTAAAATAGTAGAGGACATGACCAGAAATAGAAGGACTGTGAAGGAATGAAAGGTACAACCAAAAAAGGTACTGTTTCGTCATTGATAAACAAAACTAGTCGTTCTTTCGAATCAAAACACGGAGCATGTGCAAATATAGAGTGCTTTATCAGTAGTAACACTATGCCTAGAAGCGTGTTTATAGTTTTATTATATTTTTTAAAAATTCAGTATGAAGAATAATAATAATAATAATAATAAACAAATAATACACATATTTCATCATTATTTCTTGATGTCTTGAACTCCTGAAACAATTGACAATGCATGAATCTGTTTTGCCAACTCATCGACATCATGAAACTTCTCATTGGTCATTCTCACAATACGAATCTCACTTTTCTTGTCGGGGAACAAAAGGTGTTTCAGCGTATTCCGAGTAACATTGCGCATTTGTGCCAGAAAGTCTTCGTGAGTAATTGAGGTTCGTTTACATTCGTAGTTGTTCGTGTTGTTGCTATTCCGTCGCCCGGCAACCGTCCGAGTAGCAAACCACTTTCGTAGAGAGCTTTTTCGTCGTATTGCCGCTTTGATTTGATCCATGTTTTGAATTTTGGGAAGAGATTTGGAGCGTTTGAGTTTGGCGGTTAGTTGTTTGGGGTCTGGGATTAATGCACCAATGTGGAGGGAACGGCGGGGAGCTCGAAGGTCCTTCGTAGGTGCCATTCGGTCTGGAAAGTATAGTTCACATCACAATGACAACATTTATCAAGTCACGGAGAACTGAATATTTGATTAATACCGTGAAACCTGTATCAGAAGGGGTTCTTCAATAAAGTCCCCTCTAATACAGGAAGGCTCAAGTAATAAATAGAAAGGCCGCTCAAAATGTGATTACAGAAATTTGTCTAAACACATTTTTTGCTAGAAAAATTGTTTTTTTTTCTATTAAATTGATAGACTCTAATAATTTTGAATCAGATTTATGAATAAGAATAAGTTAGGAATTTTGAGCATTTTGAAATTGCGAGCTGTATTGTTTAATATGAGATTGTTCCGTTTGCATTTTAATTTCAGTGTTTTTCTCGGTATCAGTTTACCCTGAGAACATCACATTGCGAGTTAAATTCAAAAAAAAAACATTTTCGCGATCTCAAAAAATTTCAAAATTCTTGAATTTCCCAAATAACGCTGTATGGAGAGAATCAACCGATTCTCTCCGCAGAAATTTCCGAAATTAGCAGAAATAATAGAAGAGCCCCTCTGATTGAAAATCCCTTTGAAGGTACTATGGAACAATATAAGTCGGCCTTTCTAATACAGGTTTTTCGGTATTCAGATTGCAAGAGACATTGAAAAGTGGAACACCAACTATTGAACAACAACAAAAAGAAGAAGAATTGGTCAGCCGATGCCGGTGGGGCAATTATGAGGATTCTCTCAAAAACCGAACATCAAGTTTTCTGTCTCAGATAGTTAGAAGAGCTTACCGGATGAATGTTCATCGTAGTTGGAAATAAATTCCTCCAAATTCCGGACAGTTCCATCGGTAGGGACGGTAACTTTGACAGTTGGGAGGACAATTTCGGAATCTGACTCGTTCTCAGTCTCTGTCTCCGTCTCAAAAATATCACTTTCATCCATCAACTCCCGAATCGACGGCAAATCGTGCATTGTTCGTCTTGGAACCGGACCATTTGGGAATAGGGCGCCGATAGTGGCTCTACGGACTAGCTCGGAGATTCCACGATTTGAAATTCGAACCTTTGATTTTCGATTCATTTGGGTTCGGGGAGCGGTGGAAGCAGAAATGGAAGAAGTAGGAAAAGAAATCAGTAAAAAGAACAGTAAAAAGAAGACAACGGTTGAAAAAATATATGAATCATAAAACCAAAAAAAGAAAAGAAACAAAGAAATGAAAACATATGAAGCGCGTGGTTGTCTCTCAAAAAGAATCTTCTGGAAAATCACTTACCTCCAAATACTCGTCATTAATTTGCTCATTATTCTCTGCTCGTGTTGGCTCTTCTTCTTCTACATGAGTATTGACGACGTGGATAATTTCAGCGCACCAGTTTTTGACAGTCGGATGTTGAGGAGAGTTTAGGATTGCGCGAAGGACATCAGTGCACTCGTTCATGGAGGACACGACATTTTTATTTCTAAAAAATTCATTTTTGAAAATTTTTGACTATAAAAACAAAATTCACAGTTGATTTTTGGCCCTTTTGAACATTTTCAGTGGTTTGGAGCTCGTCAGTCAAGTTTTCCTTCACTTTGAAAATTTTAGAGGGTGCAAAACAGACCAAAATTGAAACTCTGCATTCTTAGAATTTTTCGAAAATTCCTAGTTTTTGAGTAACATGCCGTCATTTGAAGGACACCTGTTTTTACTACTTTTTTACTTTGGAAAATAACTGAAAAACTAGAGATTTCAAAATCATTCTGCAAATGTAAATTTTTCAAATTAGGTTTGTTTCACACACTCCACAATTTTCAAAGTGATAAAGAACTTGATAGTCGAAATCGAGGCTCCTGAAAATGGTCAAAAATGGCCAAGAATCAAAAGAAAAACATGTTTCTGTATATGTTATTGACCGTTTTTACCTCTTGTTGTACACATTGAGCAAGTTGAGAATCAGCTGTCTGACACATTGAAAATCTGGATTCATTTCTGTCATACTTGCCAGATGAAGAGGGCTCTCTCTATCAGGAACTCTCAAACTATCACCGGAAGATCTTGATAGGGCTCTTCGGGGAATCGGAATACGTGTTCCAATGGTTGATGCTCGTTTTCTCAACACAAAGCTGAAGAGGAATGGTCCAGAATTGTCAGAAGCGATGCTGGTTCCTCCAGAGAATGTAGAAAGTCGAAGGCCGACACTGGATCGAGATGAACGTTGACTCATGACGGAGGAAGCACGACTCGACCATCCACCAAGAGAGGTTTCTGGAAAAATATTCAAAATGGTTATTTTTTCCAATTTATAAAATGAGGAACCTAAATTTCAATTCACTAAAATTTGCAAAAAAGAACTTCCCATGCCGGGAATCGAACCCGGGCCGCGTGGGTGAAAACCACGAATCCTAACCACTAGACCACATGGGATGGCGAGTGTATGTCTATTCAATGTTCTAAACATGTTGAACAAACACGCAGCCCATTTTTTCCTCCCTCTCTCTCACTCTCGCTCGTCTCTCGCTGACTCACCATCAGAACTTTTCCGGCTGCCACCTATCTGACCGCTGAGAAGAAGAGGAGCGCAATCGGACACTTCACTGCCCGACAATTCGGGCGAGTTGACAAAGTAGCCGAATTCAAATTGAGATAGTGCAGATGGACGGCGAATTTCGATCAAAGGCAGTCCAGGAATCGCTTCGGACTTGATGGACGTCGTGTGTCCAACAACATTGTTGTTCCTTCTTCTAACGAGTTTCCAGTCAATGGTCCAGGAGATCTGAAACTTATCATCTAGGACTGAAAAAAACAATTAAATTATTACCTTGGAGGACTAGCTCCCTGAATTTCCAGCTCCGGCAAATACACATATCCCATTGTTCTTGGTCCAATTTTCGAATCATTGGAATCTTGCTGTCCATTGCTTCTGTAGGTTAACCGTTGAGCCTCTCTTCTTGTCAATGGATAGTTCTGGAGTTTTCTGGTGAATTCCAGCACTGCATCCGAGCCACTTGTATTGCTCTCATTGGAATCTCCTGAATAATTATAATTTTTAGTAAGAAATGAAAATTGTCAGAAGGGTAAGTGTACAAACACTATTATATGCATTTTCAGTAAAACCAAAAATGTAAGATGATACATTTTGAAGAAGCAAAATGTGTGAGCTAACAGAAAATTCACGGTGCACAGTAACAGAGTGCAAGAATTGGAAAATGCGCGGTGATTACAGTATTTTACAGTTCATATTGAGCAATTTTGACTATTTTCGAGAGTCCGCTTAGCTGTCACGGTTTTGATTATTTTGGAAGTTTTAGAGGGTGTAAAACAGACTTAGAATGAAAACTTTGCATTCACCTAGTTTTTTTGAAAAATATTTTTTCAGCTACTTGCAGATTTCTGAAAGACACCTTTCTTGGTCGGTTATTGTACTGAAACCCTGAAAAAGTGAAATCGGCAACAAAGTGAAAAACTAGGAATTTTCAAAAAATTCTTAAAATGAAACGTTTTTAATCTAGGTCTCAATTACACTCTCTAAAATGTTCAAAGTGTTCGGAAACCTGAAAGCCGAGCTTCAGAGCCCTGGAAATGGCCAAAAATTTACTGAAAAATATATCTCGTTGACCGGTACTGTAGGTTCCTATCTAGGCGGGCAACTGTCATAGTTATCATTTTCAACTTTTCATGTCTCGCATGCGGTTACTCAGATTGAAGAAAAAAAGAGTTTTTACAGAAACTCCAGGCACAGTGTCGTGTGAAAATCTTATCAAGCATTTTCACAAGACATTGTTTGATGTGTGAATTTTAGAGAAGTAAAAATGAATAACACAACAAAAAGTCACTGTGCGGTAAGGTGGATTCACTTCTCGATGTCCTCTTGCACGGATCTGTCCCCATACGACTCCGAAAAAGGGATTGAATGTATTTGGGCAGATGCTTCTGAACGGATGACGAAGAGGAATTGGTCTTTTTCGAACGATTCGACCCGCTACTTGTATCTGTTCCTAGTCTGAAATATAATTTACGTGTTTCTGTATCCTTCCAACTAGTCGAACCTTTTCCTTCTCTCTCGATTCTTGATATCCTTTGCACCAGAACTCAACCGTTTAGGCCGAATAATCTCAACTGAGCTGGACCGTCTTATATGAACTCTCTTCGATGCTCGAGATCCTTGATCGACGCGCAGATAATTTTTGTCCCGTTTACTATCCTCTCGCCTATCAAAACATTTATCTTTACCGAAATTTCTGGAAAATAAGCGGATATCAAACAACGGCCAACTTAAAATTACACGACAATTTTATACCTATTGTTTCCCAGACTACAACTCGAGTGAGCTCTCGGATCGTTGATTGGTTTGCATACATGATCTACTACAGTAGTCGCTGCTACTGGCCGTTTTTTGGTAACAAGACCAAGATCCCAGGATAGTTTGTGAAGGAGGAGACGGAGAAGAAGGACCGAGTCAAGAACCAAGCCAAGTTTACAAAGATGTGCTTCCAATTGTTCCAGGGATATCAGAATTTGGCAGCCCAATTGTGTCAACTTCTCTGTGTTTTTCTCAATGATATTTTTCTGTTCAGATTGGTTGGGAAGAACTGCCGGTGGAGATCCCGCACTTGGTGATTCTTCTGTTATTGGCTCACTCGCAGATAGATGTTGGCTCTGTCTTACGAGCTGCAAAAAATACGAATTGTGAAAAAAATAAAGATAAATTGTATTTTCAATCTCGTACTTCAGCCACTTCAGCCAACACTTTCAATAATACCCCTTCCACGGAAACAGCTGATCTGGAAAATGTACTCCGGCTACGCGGCGTGGTACATGTCTCGCAAATGTAGTCGTCCTCGTTCTGTTGGCTTCCACTTTTTAGAGACGGCTCGGATGCTTCAAATTGTACTGTTTACTGAACATCAGGCTCTTGCAAAACCCACTCATTAGATTAAACAGGTTGACTCGACTATTAACTTGATCTCCAATGCCGACGTAGACCAGAACTCGCGCCGCATGATATTTGACAAAGGTTCCGTACTTTGTACTATGGTTGGTATAGTAAAAAGCATCGCCTGGTAGAAGCATGTTGTGGAGCTTCTGTTCAACCCCTACTTTAACAAAGTTTCATGAGTGGAAGAATCTAGAGCTATTAAAGCAACAACTTGCAGAAGAATGCATAGTAGTTGAGGTTCTAAAGTTGTTTCCAGGAGGGATATAAAGCTTTGGAGTTGATGATACTCGGATAGTCGATTCCGGAATTTTCTGAAAATCATATTTTGAACTTCAAATGTTTTTTAAGGATTTCCCCTACTTAGCATGTGTCAAGAAGAGCAACAATCTGGCGACTAGAATCTGTGTACAATGTGCACAACATTGCCTCCATCGGTGCGCAGGACTGCAAACGGGGTTAGAGCCATCTCGTTGTTGCATTGTTAATGCGTTGTGCAGAGCGGCAATAACTGAATGATAGAAATGACGACATGTTTTTAGTGCAAACACACATACCATGGCCAGGATCCATGTCACTGAAAGCATTCATTAAATCCGACTTATGGCGAGTGGGTGCAACTGTTGGCGATGGAAGAAAAGATTGGTCTCTGGAAATAATTATTAGGTGGAGTAAACTGGAGAATTGGAAGTAGTACTTATAGTTGGCTCCATAAATGAAAACGTGATCGACAGTTGAGTTTTGGTCTGCGTTGGAGTTGAACGATTCGCCAGCTGGAAAATCTTTTTCGTAGATGTGCACTTTGAGCTCAATTACCGTAAAAACTCTATTAGATAGCCATGGCACTCTATTGTTCGGAAGTGCTCTAGGATGGCACTATATTAGATGCTGGCATTCAATTAGGGGTGGCTATCTAATAGAATTTTTACGGTATCTCGGTTCTAAGGAGCGATGTCAAACAAAAATTTGTTAACTGATAGAATGTTGGTGATGTTGTGAACAACATTTTATCAGTTGACAAATTCGTGATAGCTTTCAAAGCAACCAAAATAATTGAGCTCAAAGTGCCCATATAGAGTTAAAACACTTGAAAACTAAAATCTCACATGGTGTTGGGGGTTCATCAGAATCAAAAGCATGAGATCTATTCAAAATCCTTGACGAATGAAATATGACATCGTTGAAAGCAAACAAATCATGTACCAAACCAGCATCAATGATCTGGAAGACTCTAAATTACATATTTCGGTATAATTCAAATATAGCCCCCCACCTCAATATGACCCCCCCCCCCACCTTATAAACAACTATAGTAGAGTCCCCCACCAGTACAAAAATTGGTGGGGGGGGGGGGGCTCTACTGAGGTGTGGGGGGCTGGAGTTGGATTGGTTGATTAAAGTATGGTCCCCCACCAGTACAAAGTGGGGGCCTATTCTTGAAGAACCTGGTATTCTTAAAATATGGCCCCACCCCTCCCTGCCTTCTTCAATTAAATCCCCCCCCCCCAAACATTCAAAAATAGCCCCCCAAAAAGAGAACCTTATCTGAGCCCCCCCACTTTATTCAAATATGACCCCCCCCCCCCACCTATTCAAAAATAGCCCCCCACCTATTCAATTTTAGACCCCCACCAATTCAAAAATAGGTCCCCACCATTTTTTGGCCTAAGCCTGAATTTTAGAATGTTTTAATTTTGGAAGTTCTGATAAGATATAGATAGCTGAAAAGTATTTTTCAGAAAAAGTTCCCAAGAAACAAGGGAAAACTTTTTTTGAATTGGGATGGACCATTTAAAAGTGGGGGTCTATATTTGAATTGGTGGGGGGGGGGCTTTTTTTGAACTGCTGCAAGTGTCTAGATTGTTGGAGGTGGGGGGCTCTACTATGGTTCATTTTGGGGGGCTATACTTGAATTGGGGTGGGGGCTATATTTGAATTCAGCCCATATTTCCCGAGTACACTTAGCAAAAACCTTATTCAAAGTGTTAAGTGCAGAAAATTGGCGGCTTGTCCCTTTCTGAAGAAATGTGAAACAAAACGTGGCAATTTGACTAAGCAACCAGGTGAGATGAAGTTTCTTCTGCTTTTTATAAGTTGGTGTCGACGATTCGTACTCCTCGATGGCAGTCTGTAATGTTTCGGAGTATCTTCCATGCTTACGATGGGCTGGACCTGACCAAGCCTCTTCCAAAACTTTTCGTGGTCATTAAAAAAGTTACGAATTTTCTGTCAAAACAAAACATTTGCAAAGAGTGTCATTAGAAAATTGTTTTTTTCATTGACAATCGAAAATTTCCTCAAATTTCAAATGGTTTTTTCTGGAACCTGGTTCCCGTTTTTTCATTAATGGTATTTTCGAGTTTTCAATCAAGTCTCACATGAATCATTTTGTGCAGCAGCCCTCCCATATGAGCGTCGAATTGATCGCGATCGACACTGCTTGGTGTGTTCTCCATTTGAGTTGCAAATTTGGAAAGAGAGTTCTGGAAGTTGCTGTTGAAGAATTCCAATTTTTTGCGAAAACTTACGACAATATTGTCGAGACATTCCGGATTACATGCCATCTTCTTCAACAATTCCCATGCCTGCTCCCAACTGACACAGTCGATGACAGGATCTGGAGGAATACGAATACAAGATGAAATCAAGCGTTTCTCGGATAGTGTTCTTGAGTCCGAGCGAAGAACCACATTTCGCCACATCTTTTTTAATGATTTTTGAATAAGTAAAACGGAGAAGGGATGTTTGGGGGAGAGCTCTAAGATTCAGAGATTCAGATTGAAAATTCCAACTTCATCCCTCCTCTCACTCTCTCTCTCTGCCTCTTTTATTCCTCTTTCACCCTCCATTAATCCCTATTTTCGCACACATCTTTTAGGGGTGTCTTTAACGGGTGGAACCACCGAAAATGATTTTGATTTTGAGAAGGGGGTCGTGGTGTTGTTTGCGCTGTCATAAACTGACGTTGGTATTAAACGTAGGGGATCTTAGAAAACCTGACATATCGAAAAAGAAGAAGGAAAAAACCAAAACAAGCAGCCGAAAAAGTTTGCAATGATTGCGATGACAAGGTTTTGAAATTAAATTCCTTCTCAATGAAGTATGACAAGAAAACGAGAGGAGAAGGAGGGGAGGAACAAGAAAAAAAAGAAAGTCCCATTTCAGTTAGTTCTCCTTTATTTTGTCGTTAGTTTTTTTTCTTCAAATGTATTAGGATGGACAAAATTCAATTTTTTGGGAATTTTTTCCAAGAGAAAAGTAACATCGGATTCATTTTTACAAGGTTATCTCAACACCTTGTGAACTTAGAATTTTATGAGAATTTCGGGATAGATCATACTCCGGTCGCCGATTTCAGCCGGGTTATACCAGTTTCAGTACCAATATTTTCAGAAATTTTTTTCAACTTTTTAAATTAATCCAAGTGGTGGAAAAATCAAAAATTTACAAAAAGGTTTCGAAAAACGTCTGAAATATGAAAAATTAATCATAAGTATAACACAACTAATTTTATGTTCAAAAATATTTTGAAAGTTGAGAAAAAAAATCGTCTTTAAATGTACTGTTTTTGAACTGAAGATAAGTTTTTGGTACTAAAACCGATATGAAAGTAGCTAGCGGCATCTAAAAACTTCAGTGGTACTTAGATAAGAAATTTTCAAACAAACCTGAGAATTTCATTGAAATCTGGATATTAGTTTTTAGTTAGAACAATTATAGAATTTCCAATTTTCAAAAAAAGAGCTCAACTATTTCATGAGAATACTTTTTTTTCAAATTTCGAATCTCTAGGATTGAAAATACTTGAACAAAATAAGTTCAAGTTGCTTGAAATAAAAGAACTCAACTAGTTGATGAGAATGATTAGTTTTTCAAATTTTCAAGTTTTAGATTTTAATACACTAGACCAAAATAATTTCAAGTTGCATTCATAAATTTAACGGTTGTCTCAAAACCCTACTTTCTCAAAACTCGGGTAATCGAAAACCCTCTAAAAATAAAGCCTCTAAAAATTAATCAAACGAAGGCAACGGCGGTGGAAACACATTTAAGATTGGGGCCAAACTGCAGAGAGCCGAATAAAGCAACAAAGTGTTGTGTGCAAACTCAAAACAAGAAATTGGGGTTTGAAATCGTAGGAAGCGGGGAGGAAAAAGAAAGGAATAGTGATAAGGGCGGGTCGGAAGCTGGAAATCTGCATTGAAAGCAAAAAAGCAGCAAAAACAAATAAACAAACCGAATCAAAAGTAACAACTTACATTCTTTGACATTTCTGGATTTGCGATGAAGTTGAAGTGAGACCAACGACTTCCTCCTGGCAGATTCTTTGGCCGACGACGTTTCCAGCATACTGCACGTGGAGACACTCGCTGCAGCAGACGGTTTTGGGCTCAGAGGTGCTTTGGACAGTGATCGCTCTCCTTGAGAAACTGAACAGAAAATAAACGACACACTAGGCAACTCAAAAAATTTAGCGAGGGTAGGAGATAATGCTGGAGCAGTGAGTGGAAAAAAAATCAGAGTGCTTTCATTGATCCTGTGTCGTCTTCTGTTGGAGAGAACGCGTATAAATCAAATTATGAAGTCATCAGCGGGTAGCTAGCACTTATAAGACAAAGATAGAGGAGAAGAAAAACGAAAAATTGTGCATATGTGTGAGCTCCTCTAGAACATGAGACGCTCCGATGTCTAATTTGATACACAACTTTTTTCACTCTTGACACTCACCATTGTCGACTTGAAGTCGATTCCAATTTTTCGCTGATGGACCTGGTGTGGATCGAGACGGCGGTTCACTATCTCCAGAGCACGCGTTCTTGAAAAGCTCTTCAACACATGTCTGCTGAAGTTTTTTGAGCTCAGGAGCAAGGTCAAGTGGACAGATTCCTCGCATATTTTTTTGCTCAATTCTGGAAATTAATTTTGGTTCGAAAAGTTATATTTTTGGACACTCACTGGGCTCCAAAGAAAATGAGCGTGTGTAGGCAGGGCCACGACAGCGGCGATTCTCGTACGGCTAACATCAGCGGCGTGTTGCCATCCTCATCACCTACAATCATTATTAATTCACCAATTATTTATTTTTGCCTCTTCGTTTTTTTCTTGACGACAGGAAAATGAGGAGTGCGTGGTTTGAGGTGGTAGACTCAATAAAAAATGCGTTTGATAAATAAGATATCTATCATACAGAGTTTTCTGGGGGATATTAATAATAATAGCTGAATAACAGTGTTTGAAATAGAATTTTGAAGCAGATACATAGAATAAATCATTTTTTGAATTCCTGATTGGGAAGTAGTCAAAATTGCAAAACGGTCTTGAAAAAACGGTCCAGAATTTTTCAATTTGTCAGAAAGTTTCATAAAACACTTCTGAGCATCTAATACAAATTCAACGAAACGATATGAGCAGCTCCCAACAACACAACTCTTGGCTTAATGCCAATCATTGAAAATTTTCTGGAACGTTTGTTCAGATTTCAATTTTGACAGTCAAAGTATACGGCTAAATAAGAGATTATGCAGTGTTTCTCAATCGAATTTTGAATTACATAACACTTTTTTCCTCATTTTTGGCACTTTTTCGAGGTTTTCGTTTGATAAATTTATTTTTGGCATTTTTGATATATTTTCCCAATGAATTGTAATCGTTTTATTTTTATTACAAAATTTTGTTCTACGTTTTATTTTTTTCAAATTTGCGTGCTTTCCTAAATTGCACATTTTTAGAATATGCCAACTTCTCCCAAGATCTTTCTCCCGAAATTCTGCAAGACCTCTCTCCTCCGCGTACCTAAATTGACATCTCCTCCGTAAGCGATGAGCAATGCTATCAGCTCGCTTGACTGCGACCTCACTGCAACACCCAACGGCGTCTGATCCACAATTGACACGACACGAAGCTGTGAGCACGTTGAACACAATTCTGGCGTCATGGAGTGCGTTCTGAAATCATTTGGGATCTTCATAAATGAAAAAAAAAGAAAAACGCGGACCTAAAATACAGCCCTTTTTATATATTCTTATCACGAAGCTCTTTGAAGAAGATCATTGATGAAAAAGAAGTACCCGACTCACCTTGGAATGATTGACGTCAGTGGTATATTACCAGTCGCCGTACAGTTTCCTTTACAATGACACGATGCTGGTGTATTTGGATCATAGCCATTTTTGAGAAGAAGTTCAACAATGTCTCGTTGTTTGTGAGCAACAGCCATGTGCAAAGTATTCATCATTGCACATGTGGATCTGTAGGAAAACAAGGAACTAGAAATTGAGGAAAAAACTGACAGACGGAGAAAATGTTTCAAAAATGATATTTGAAAAATTTATATTTTTTAAGAATATAACATTTTTAAAGATTTTTAAAATTCTTAAAAACGATATAGTGCCGATTAAATGATATGCAAAACCGTATTTTCAGTGGATTTTTGGCCATTTTGACCAATTTCAGGTAAGCTCTTTTTTACCTTTTAGTACAAAAACTGGCCCAAAAGAGTGATCATTCAGAAATCGGCAAATCGCTCAAAAACTAGGAGTTTTCGAAAAATTCTGCTAATGCAAAGTTTTCAATTTAGGTATTTTTTGCACCGTTGAATACAGGGTGGCTGAAAAGTATTGAGACACTTGTTTTTTGTTGTCGAGTTGTGCAACAATTGAAAGATCGAGGACATGTGTTGGAGCTTAATGGTGGGGACCTATTTTTGAAAAAAGAATATTCGAAGTTCGAGCCTTCGGCCTTGATGCACGCCTTCAAACGAGCTGGAACAGAAGCGACGGTGCGCCGGAGGTAGTCATCGTCAAGATCATCCCATGCTTTGAGCAAAGCGGCCTTCAGTGAATCCACATTTGGGTGCGATCGAGCCATCACCTTTTCCTCCAAATATCCCCAAACGGAAAAGTCGAGTGGATTCAGATCGGGCGAGGAAGCGGGCCACATGTCCTTGCCCCAGTAGCCAGGGAAATGAGCGTCGAGAACAGCTTTCGTGGATTTCGAGCCATGGGACGGGGCCCAATCTTGTTGAAGAATGAAGGGTTGCTGGCCAAAGTGGCTAGTGACCCACGGACGTAAAACATCCATCAACACCAACTTTTGGTACACATCCGAGTTGATTTTCACATTTCTATCAATGAAAACCAATGGGACTATACCTTCCGACGTCAATCCAGCCCACACCATCACTGACTTTGGAAAAAGTCTCTTGTAGGCCAGACGACGTTTTGGGGACTTTGCTTCGTCCTTTGACAACAATTGCCGAGCATTCTGTCGGTTCGGAAGCGGCTCAACCGTAAAAATTTTCTCATCAGTCCAAATGACTTCAGAGAGGCGGCGCACCTTGAGTGCGTCGAGCAACTTTTTCGCTTTTTCGAGCCGATTCTTCTTGGACTGTTCTGTGAGGTATTGGCCACGAAGGAGCCGATAACTGTTCAGACCCAAGTCCTTTCCACAATGGATTGAACCGATTGTCTTGAGATTCCGACCGATGAAGCCATTTGGTTCATGCTGACCGCATCATTTCGTGTGATTCTCTTCTTGATGATGCCACGAGTCCGGCGAGTGTTGACAGTACGAGGTCTTCCGCTTTTCTTAAGCTCCAACACATGTCCTCGATCTTTCAATTGTTGCACAACTCGATAGACAGTTGCTCTCGGAAGAAGAAGTCTTCGAGCGATGTCACCGGTGGAGATGCCGTCGTTGACAGCTTGGCAATGGTTTGGCGATGAGGAGAAGCTCGCATAACTTCGTGAAGAGATAAAGTGATGGGAAATGGCTCTAATGTCGGCTTATATACGCTCCCTATTTTCGAAATAATACGAAACTTTTCGAAAATACGACTTGGCACGGTGCCAAGAGCCATCATAACAAGTGTCTCAATACTTTTCAGCCACCCTGTATTTTCAAAGTGATCGGAAACTAGACATCCGAGTTCCACTCCTAATAGTTATTAAAATGACCAAAAATCAATTAAAAATACGTTTTGTACATTTGTTTTGAACATTATACTTTTCTGGTATTACGTAGACTACCTAAAGTGACTGTGAGACACGAAATGCCACAAGCAAAAAAAATTATGGCCTTGATTACTCATAACAAATGTATCTAGCTGTGAAAAAGCGTTACACTACTCTTTCGATGATGTTGGATGTGTGAATGCTTTTTAGAAAGTTTATAAATATTTTATACACTCCTCTCTGAAAGTTTTGGTTCCTGACAACTGAATGTCTGAGAATTTCGCGCTTCTTTTTTTTTGTCTTGGAGGTCCAAGAAGTTTGAAAATTTTTCTATGAATCTAAAACTAGCGAAGGTATCCAAAATATGGATGTGATTCACATTCCGAGGCATACATCATTTTGATAAATGTAGATTGCTCATGTTTAAATCATGCAACTTGTCACCCCCTATCTCGTCTACATGACATTCAAAGCCCCCACCTTCCTCCTGAATGCGTCGACACCGTACTGCTGGCGTTGGAACGGCGATGCGCCCCCGCGCCATGTCTTCGTTGCGCGAGATCGGTCAGTGTGTTTGTGCTACCTGAAAGATAGGGGAGAAATAGAGAAGGCTCGTGCCGAGGGCTCATCAATTCAGGGGCGTCCACCCGAGTTTCCTATGAATTACCAATTGACGGCGATGTTGACATTGGTTGTTTTGAACTATGCGCCGTCAGCAACCTTTCCACCAAGTTCACATCTTCATAATGTATTGCCTGGAAATTTTACGTAACTGATTAGAAGGATCGGAGATAAAAGGGAATAAAAATTCAATTTGTGTCTGTGAAGCCGGGAAGTTTAAAAAGTGGAAATAAAAAAGCGTTGATGTCTGTGGGTGAGCGAAGAAATAGCAAAATGTCAATAGAAAAACAATTCTAGAAAAAAGGAGAGGAACAAGAAAAAATGCAGTAAAAGGACACAAGTCATCAAGTAAAAACTTTAACGAACATTTCGGACGAGACGAAAAAGTTCATTTGTCACGAGTGACTCTTTTTTTGTTGAAACGTTTTTTTATTCAGAAGACAAAAGGGCATTCCTAGAGTTTTTTTGTATAGAACGTCCATGGGATCCTTCAGCGTTGAGAAGTTTCAAGATAAAAATAGTTTTAAAAAATCAATTTTTACTAATCGAAAAAAAATTTTACGGGAATAAGAAAAATTAGCCATTTGACACTAAAAAGTGTCAAAAACGCCAAATTTAGCATAGAAATTTAAGTTCTATCCATTTAAAGCAAATTCCCTCGTTTTTTATTATTACAAAAAAATGTTGTTAAATACGAAAATAATACTCAAGTTTCGGCTTTCACTTTGAAACTTTGGTCGTTGGAAAAAACAATTTTTGTACTTGTAAAATTTTTTGAAAAAAAAACGGGCCCAGCTTTTTAAAAATTCTCTCGGCCCTGTCCGATAGACCCGTGTTGCCAAAAAATAATTTCCTGAGAATTTTTAAACTAAATTTGAAGGTCTTGAGAGCCCGGCCAGGACCTCTTGATTTCGAAATTTCGAAAAATCATTTTTCAACTTCAATTTTTTTTTTGTTTCATTACTCCTTGTTAATAATTTTTTATATAGACTATATAAAATTCCCACTTTCAAATTCAAGGAACGTCAAACACAGACAACAAAAGTGGGGAAGACTAAGAAAAAAGAAAACAGAAGAAGAAATGAAACTCGAAAGAATAAGGAAGTTGTACTTGACCCCAACGCAGAATTTATAATGAAAATAGGACTCACCTCGAGCATTATTTCCGACAAGTTTTGGGTGACAGATGGTTTTCGATCATCACTGAAAAATAGACGTCTTCGTAGTTTTCGTGGTGTCGATCGTGATAGTCGCATTTTTTTTGCTTTCTCTCTCTCGAAATATTTTGAATTTATGATGTTCGAAGATTTTTTCTCTTTTTATACTACATACTAGTATATTTTAACGGACCATAGATCTCTGTGATAGACAATGAAATAAGGGAAGCTAAAAAAACAAAGGCTATTTGTATAATTAAATCAAACTGCTACAATACAAGACATGTTTTATTTTTGTCATATGTTCATTTGTTAAAAGATAAAACTAACATTGACGTAGATAAGTGGAAGGATCGTTTTGTAAAAGGAGAATCTATGCATTCAACTAAGTATTTATAAGTGGGAGGGAAATGAGCTGCATTCGAATTTGATATTCAAATTATTCCCGACTAGCGGGGACTGTGGCGGTCTCCGTTCTTTTTTTGAGATTCTAATTAGGATAACAAGTGAGTTGTATTTTGATTTTTAATATTTTGATCTCAGATATTTGAATTTTTAAAAATCGATCCAGTGAAAAAACGGCTCCACTATGACATTTAAGTCCTTCAAAAATGATTGGTCATAAATGTCTTTGGTATACCTCAGAAATAATTTTCTAGTCCTAAAAAAAAGTTTGTCCTTCGAAAGAATATTGGTCCTAAAAACATTTTCTAGTCTTTGAAAATTTTTGGACCTTTAAAACATTCTATGGTCCTAGAGCTCAAAACCATAACTGAAAATTGAAGTTTCAAATTGAAAAAATTCCTGATCCCGATCAGTTCATTTTTTTCAAATTTCAATAAAAATCACATAGCTTTCCTTCTTGACCTTACCGTTCCCGCATAACTCTCTGCGCAGCGCCAAAAGTGAATGATCTGCCAGTGTCCGTGGGTGTTCCGACGAGTGATGAGCACTCGCTACTTTCTCCCGTATACCGTCGACCGGATAATCCTGAAGTTTGATATAGAGGGAAAAAAACAACACATTAAACGTCTGACTCATTTATGATATAGAATTTTTTGTTGATAAAACAAAAAAATGTCAGAAAATTCTTGTAAAAATGAAAACTATGAATAGAACCAACAAGAGGAGCGAGTTGTCATTATCCAGAAAAAAAAACGATGCACTAATGCTCAATGATCCTCGCCTATTTTGTTTCTTTGAAAATGACGAGAGACACTCGAGGAAATAATACTGGGAGGTTTTGCTGTTCTTAAAGGAGAGAACGTTTTTTTTTTGAAAACTAAAGATTAGAGGGTTTGAAATTTTGAAGTAAAAATTCAGAAGGGACTTCTAGAAGAGGATGGCTCACCTGATTGCCCGCTTTGTTGTCGCTGAAGTCGTTGCCGAAGTCGTTTGGCAGTGGATGCTGATGGTTCGGTTCGTGCCAATTCGGTCGTATACCCAAAGGGGTACCTGTACTCATTGCCCATTTATTGATTATCAAAAATACCCGATCAACGGAAAAAATGTTGTGTGGATATTATGTTTGAATCGGGTAGGAGTGTAGGCCCCTTTTTGCTAACAAAATGGAATAAACACATACATATATTGAAATTTGATTATCTGCTTGGCGTAGAGTTGTGGATTGAAAGCCAAGGAGTTTTTTTTTCGTCTCAGTAGGAACAACTTAGACAAAAATATGAAGAGAGAAGAAAAACTGAGAAGACTAGAGACTGACTTAGTTCCCGAGAAATATGGGGATGGGGTGATAAGCAGGAAAAGATGAATTAGACTTCTTACATTACGATGATGACGGAAAACACATACCTGTTAGTTGAAGGGAGCACTTAGAAAATGATGCCTAAGGAATTGGCAAAGGAAATGGTAAATTAAAACACATGCGTAAATGTGTCATATGATCCTTTCTCCTAGTCTAATCAATAAAAATCCCAGAGTTCATAGGACCTGTTTTTTTTGGTCAAGCTAGAGCTCTCAAAAGGCCAGAGATTCCTTTTCCTCTTCAAAACTTTTTTTCGACTTCTTCGACTCTCTCCTCCCATCGATCAAATTACACCATTAACACCCCTTCTAACGATAATGGTCAGCTCGCATTTCAAATCGCATCCTAATTCTTTTTTTTCTTTTTTTATTATGACTTACTCATCACTAGTCAATTCAAGTTCACTGACATGGAATGACTCCCAAGTGTTACCTTCGAAAAAAAATCGAGACCTATATGGTTGGATAGAGCGTAAAAAGTTATTTTTGATTCCAAACGGAATAGTTGGTAAAAATTGTTTTTTGGGAGTTATGGTCCAAAAAGTACCAAAAAATGCCTAAATTTTCAAAAAATCGTAACTTTGTCAGTTTATGTCCGTTTGTTGAAATTTGAAAAACAATAGATAGACAATTAATTGAACATTTGCAAATAAATTTTATTAATTTTTTCCTATTGATTGGATTATTGATTTTTTGAAAAAATTAAAAAAAAATTTCAATATCTTAAAAATCCTAGGTTAACTTTTTTTCATTATGTTCATTGAATTCAGCACATTTGATTTACTATGGAACCATATCAATACCCCGGGGGAAATCATGCTCACACAAGTTATGCCGAAAAATATCGATTTTTGGCAGTTTGCTTCTTTGAATTCGTTGTCCTCGGCGGCCGGTATGGTGAGGGGCATACTTGTTTTTGTGATTTTTACTTGCGCATCGTTTGCCTAGAGTGTTTCAAATAAAATCCTGCGACATACAAAGTCAATTTTTCAAATGCCGTACCATTTCTTAAAATCATCATCTTGAAAAAATCAAAATTTTGACATGTGACCGGGCACATCTATAGTTAAACTTGATAGAAACGGCCAAACTGTTTTCTTAACATAATCAGAAGAACATAATCTTATCAACGGCTTGAACAGAATTTCGATTTAGGCCCTAGAATCAAAAATATTTCCGATTTTCCGAGCTTGACCCCTATTTTTGGTGAAGTGTGATATGTGACAGGGCACATCTATAGTTAATCTTGATGGAAATAGCCAGACTCTTGTTTAAACATGATTAAAATGACAAAATCTTATCAACGGCTTGAACAGAATTTTAAAATATCGAAAACCGTTAACGCCATTTGATTTAAAATGAAACAATAACATAGAAAAAAGTAAAACCAACTTGGTCCTTGTGGTGAAAGTAGGTTAAACGAACGATTTCTGAAAGATATCCTTCCAGCTTCGGACAGCCGAAATCGACCTTTTTCTATTTCACCTATTTTCACGATACGAAACAAACCAATAACATTTTTCTAATAGTATTTTTTAAGTTTAAATCGAATGGCGTTAACAGTTTTTCGATATTTTTCTTCGTTCTCAAGTTATGATCAAAAACAAAAGGTGTCCCATCATCAGTGAATATTTTTATTTTTAGGGCCTAATTAAAAATTCTGTTCAAGCCGTTGATAAGATTTTGTCATTTTAATTATGTTTAAACTAATGTTTAGCTGTTTCCATCAAGTTTATCTATAGATGTGCCCTGTCACATATCACACTTCACCAAAAATAGGGGTCAGACTCGGAAAACCGTAAATATTTTTGATTTTAGGGCCTAAATCAAAATTCTGTTCAAGCAAATGTTCAATTAATTGTCTATTTATTGTTTTTTAAATTTCAACAAACGGACATAAACTGACAAAGTTATGATTTTTTGAAAATTTAGGCATTTTTTGGTACTTTTTGGACCATAACTCCCAAAAAACAATTTTTACCAACTATTCTGTTTGGAATCAAAAATAACTTTTTACGCTCTATCCAACCATATAGGTCTCGATTTTTTTCGAAGGTAACACTTGAGAGTCATTCCATGTGAGATTAAATGTGGTTAGAGAAAAATAGGACGAAGACATTGATATCAAGTTGAAAGTATGCTAAGAAGAAAAGAATGGAGAAAGGAAAGTGTTGGTGAATAATTTACATGACAATCACTGGAAAAAAAAGCAGTGGAAAAGTCAGCTTGCAAGAAAAAAATTGATTTTTGAATCGTTGTCTATGGATTTCTTAAGATGTCGATTACTTCGAAAAGCGCACGCAAAAAGTTTCTGATTTCACTTAAATGATTTCACTTAAAGTTTGAAAATCTAAAATTTTATTCAAAAATCACATTACCGAAACTCCGAAATTCTTCAAATCGGAATATTTTAAAAATTCCGGAAAGTTCCGAAATTTTCAAAATCGGAATACTCCGAAATCTGGAAACTAGAAGTTCTCGAAATTTTGAATTTCTAAATTGAAATTATCTGAAAATCTGAAATTATCGGACTCGAAATATTCCTATATTCAGTAATTTTCAAAGTTGCAATATTCCAAAAATTCTGAAGTTTTCCAAATCGGAATATTTGGAAATTCCTGAATTTTCCAAATCAAAACTTTCCGAAAATTTATGATTTTTAAAATTGAAATAGTCTGAAATTTCAGAATTTTCCAAATTGCAATATTTCAAAATTCCTTAATATACAATCGGAAAATTCCGAAATTCTAAATCTCCAAAAAAAATTGGCATCGAAATATTCCAAGTTTCTGTAACTTTCAAAATTGGAATATTTCAAATTATAAGATATTTATTCAAATACGGAATATCTTGAAATCCGGAAAATTCTAAGTTTAAAACTCGAAATATTCTGAAAGTTTCAAAATATCAAAACTTTCGGAATTTTCGACATTCCGAAAAGTTTTGAAAAGGCATATATTCGCTATTCATCCGATTCAAACACAAGAACATGAGAACAATGGGAAATAAAAAAACCATTTTTAGAAAACCCACCGATCCGTTGTTTCCATAGACGAATCCCGTGATGTTGGCATTGAGTCGACCTGGAAAATAACTAATTATAAAAAACCGTCAAAACGGCGAGTATTGATTGCCCTAAGCGTTTTAACCTATCCACAATTTATCTATTTTCCACAAAAAGAGGATATAACAGACAGAAAAGAAGGAGATGAGCTGAAAAAGAATACGCCAGGGCATGTGGAAGATTAGCAAATTCGGGATTAATTTAAGCTGTTGATATGCACATCCATACACACACACATATCCACACATATACATATATAGATACACTAGCACAGCGTGTGTGCCTCTATACAAAAGTGTATCTAGAACCAGTGGTTTTCTGGGATTTTTGACTTTGATGAATTTTAGAAGAGTCTTACGTTACGGTTTCTAATGGAAGATGATAACAATAGCAAATAAAAGAAGAATGTATACGAAGACGTACGTTCCGGTATCATCGTCATCATAGTACATGTTTTTTGAGCTTGAGATTATTTTCAAGATTCGAAACTGGATGAAAAATGAAAAATAGGGTTCGCTTTTATAGGAAAAGTCATATGGAGGCGAATTGAATGAAAATGTTAATGGCTGGTACGATTTCAATCCCAAAGGGCTCAGAGGAAACATTTTAATTTATTCCAAACCCTGCGATTTTTTTCCAAAAGGAAGCCGACTTCCAAAAAATCCCTCTAGATCGCACAAGATAAAACAGGACCACCTGTCTGTTATGGGTGAAATTGGGAACGAGCAAATAAAAGAAAAAAAGGAAAAGAGCTGTCAAGTTTTGATAGAAAGTAAACTTTTTTTTTGAAAGTTAAACTTCACATCATTCTTATAAAGAGAACAGAGTGTGATAACAAAAAATCTCAAATCAAAAATAGAACGGAGCAAGGGGAAAAAGAACAAAGAAAAGCAAAACAAAAACAATGTTCGAAATCCGAGGTGATAATTAGTGTTGATCTAGATGATATCCCGAGCGGTCAGCTGAGAGAAAGAAAGACCAGGAGACCAGACAGAAGAGATCTAGGTAGGTGGTTGAGGACCATTGTAATATAGTGGGGTGGGGGTGGGAAGTGGACA